CCCAGCACTTTGAAAGGCCGAGGTGGCCTTTCAGATTGCCTGAGCTCAGGAGTTCCAGACCAGCCTAGACCACATGTGATACCCCATCTCTACTAAAATGCAAAAAAAAAAAAAAAAAAAAAAAAGCTGGGCATGGTGGTGTGCACCTGCAGTCTTAGCTACTCTGGAGGCTAGGGCATGAGAATTGCTTGAACCCACAAGGCAGAGGCTGCACTGAACTGGCCACTGCACTCCAGCCTAGGCAAGAGAGCAAGACTCTGCCAAGAAAGACAAAGAAAGAAAGAGAGAGAGAAAGAGAAAGAGAGAAAGAAAGAAAAAAGAAAAGAAAGAGAGAGAGAAAGAGAGCCATAGGTGTAAAGTAGTTAATATTGTCCCTGGCACATAGAAAGGGCTCTATAAATGTTAGCGATGATGAGAATGGCGATGATAGTAGTAGCCACATTTTCTGAAAAAACTTCATAAAAACAGTCCCACCTTCCTGATCCCAGCTGGCCTCTGCTCCTCTAGGCTTAGGCACTGAGTAAATGAACAAGTGGTATACTCTGGGACGCAGGAGAAGGGGCCCTCGAAGACCACAGGAGATTTGCATCCTACCCAGTGGTGAGAGTGGGGAGTCCTTCAGAACCAGAGGCAGAGGAAGTAGCATGAGGTTTTTCTCCTTATGATGGACAAGGGGAGCAATAGGGTCATCCCCAGAGTCAACAAGGGAGAGAAAGTGAGTAAACAAGGGTTGAGGATGGGCTGGATGCTTTCAATGACATCGCTCAGTGTCCCTTCATAATCCCCCCATGTGGTGCTATTATTTCTGTCTTATGGATAAAGAAATGAATAAGTAACTCACCAAGGTCATACAGCTGAGAAGAGCCTGGGCAGATTCCTAGTCAAGGCCTTCCTGACTGCAAAGCCACCCTCACAGTCCAGCCTCTCTGGGCTGGGCTGGGTTAAGGGTTCAGGGGTGGGCTCAGGAGTCCATCAGGTGGACTGTTTCTGGAAAGATGCCTCTGGACTCTGTCTCCTCCTGTCCCACGCACTGCCCTAGTCCAGGCTATTCTAAGAGTCTCCTTTCCAGCCTCTCTCACCATCCTCTTACTCCAATCTGAGTTCTCACTTCAGACAAAGAAACACGGTGGACCAGTCCTCCCCTGGTGTAGAACCCTCTCTTGCCCATAGGCCTGCTTCTCACATGAGCGGTGTCTGCCTAGGGGCACGGAGCAGAGGAGGAGGCCACCTTCCTGGGTTGCCAATTATACTTTCCAGTTAGACAAGTCCATGCTACAGAGTGGGATGCAAAGCGCCCAGGGACTGTGCTCAGAGCAGGAGTTTATATGTGTTGGGGGGAATAGGGAGGCAGAGAAGAGAATCGTTCCTCATCAGAAAGGTTCTAGTGGCCACAAAGATGAAGATAAATTCAGAGCTGGGTCCGGCAGGCCCTGCCGCACCTGGCTTCCAATGACTCTCCAGTTCTGTGTCCATGATGCCTGGGGGTGCTCTGTGCTCCAGCCAGAACTGTCTCTAGCCTTCCTCCTTATCAGTAGCAATGTATTGACTCTCTGACCAGAATGACTTTCCACCCCATTTTTGGCTTGGGAAGCTCCTATTTATTCCTTAAGGCCAATTCCAAGTACCCCTCCTCTGAGAAGCCCTCCCTGATCCCACCTCATGGCTGGATGTCATGTCCTCTCCCATCCCCCTAATCTGCAATGCGTTCCCCGGCACCTTGCACTTCCCTCCTCACAGCTTCTTACCACAGGCACTGTGTCACCGCTTTGAGAGACAGCCTCTCCAGGAGGCCGTGAGCTCGTGAGGTTGGGGAGTCCATCATTAACTCTGCCTTCATTTGCTCATTCAACACACATTCGGAGTCCCTCCTGATGCCAGGCCAGGGGCTGTGGGCGCAAGGACAATTCAGTGTGTCAGATCAGAGAAGCCTGTGATTTGAGGGAAGGCAAACCATCCATTCATGCATCAATTGCTATATTAAAACAACGAATAAACCAAAAAGCAAAATTCCATGCTGAGCCCCAACACTGGGCCAGGGCCTCTGCTCAGGGATGAGGATAGAGAAAAAACAAAACCTGTTCTTGCCCTCAAGGGGATCCTAGTCTCGCCAAGGGAAATGACTAAGTACATAGTGTGTTCCCAGGGCTGTGGGGCACCAACACAAATGTAGAGTCCTTTTCTTTCTTTCTTTCTTTTTGATAAACAATTAATAAATGAGAGAATGAACACATTTTTTTCTGTGTGGGTTTTTTTTTTCTTTGCAGGGGGTGGGGTGGTGCATCATGGGGCTTTAGCCATGAATAGGCTCTGTAAATCAAGTCATCCAAAAAATCATGATCAATTGATTGATTGAAATGTCACACAGGAAGTCGCTAACAGCAACAGGACTAGATTCCGGGTTTCCACGACCTTGGGATCTCCACCACCCTGGACTTTCTCAATGGAGAACAAATCTACTCTGCGGCTGTCTTGACAGGATTCTGCAGCCTGGAGCGGCAGAGCCTCCAGCAAACTCATAGTAAAATGCAGCAGTCTTGGCCTGCCTCCCAAGAGGGTCGTGAGCATTAATTAGTTACCACTGGTAAAGTGCTCTGAAGATATGGGAGTGTATAAACACGGCAAGTCATTAGGCCTCTCCACACCACTATGCTCTACAGCCTGGGGACTGCTAATTGAGAAATAATTAACACCTCGGGGTGCTGGGGACAGCTGCTTGGCTTCTCCAGAATCAGAAGGGATGTAATAACATGCACAGAAGCAGGGAGAAGTTAAGGGCTACTTTGGATATGTAGATCCAAGAAATTCTGAAGTTTATTTACCCCCTACCCGCAAAGAGGACAAGTGAGGACTATCAGTCCAGTAAGAACTCTAGGACTTCACTCCTTGGCGAAAGCCTCTACCACAGCACTAGGCTGTAGAGGCTCGGCAAAGCTCTTAGAGACTTGGTCCAGGTCCACCCCAGCTCTGCCTGGCCTCCTAGCTGGTGGGCAGATGCAGTCTTGTGCTCCACCTGAGCTGTGTTTTCTTCAATTATAATACCAGGATAATAACATGGCATCTACCCCTTGTCCCCTCCACCACCAGATTGTCCATTGCCTTTCCTCTAGGCCTGCAGATCTAACCCTGACTGCACATTAGAATTTCCTGGGGAATTATAAAATAACAATGTCTGGGCCCACCCCAGACCCACAACCAGCATCTCGGGACAGGTTGAGGGGGTTGCGTATAGTGACTCTAATGTAGTCAAGTTGAGAATCACTGCTCTAGCCTGTGTGCCAAGCTCTGTGTTAGGAGCTGGGAGAAATAAAGCAGTAAACCACACCACACCCCATGCTTCCCTCACGCTGGCTCATCATTTCCTGATCTGTGCCTCTGAATATCCTGATCCCTCCTCCTGAACACTGCACTCACACCCACTGCCATTCTTGTCCGGGTAGATGCCGTTCATCCTTCAGGTTCAGCTCAAAGGTCACGTCCTCAGTGAAGCCTTCCTTCCCCACGTTCCCACAGGGGTTTGGTCAGCCCCTATCATACCACTGATCACACAGAGTTGTTCCTGGAAGATCCTGGCAGGCTGAGAGCTTCTTGGGGACAGTATCAGAATCACCAGTGTCTTGCATTGGGTCTGGTATGTTTTAGGCATTCAATAATTGTAGCTGTTATTAGGTAGGGTTATGTAACATGCAGTTCCCACTTCAGGACAATTGCATTTCTTGTTTCCTGTGTCTGGAACATTCTTCTCCCAAATATCTGCAAGGCTGTGTCTCTCACCCGCTTCCAGTCTTTGCTAAAATGTAACCTATTGGATGAGGCTTTTCCTGATCCTCCTATTTTAAATTACTAACACTTGGCCAGGCGCTCACGCCTGTAAATCCCAGCACTTTGGGAAGCCAAGGCAGGTGGATCATCTGAGGTCAGGAGTTCGAGAGCAGCCTGGCCAACATGATAAAACCTGGTCTCTACTAAAACTACAAAAATTAGCTGGGCGTGGGGGTGGAGACCTCTAATCCCAGCTACCCAGGCAGTTGAGGCAGGAGAATCTCTGGAACCCAGGAAAAGGAGATTGTAGTGAGTTGAGATTGCACCATTGCACTCCAGCCTGGGCAACAAGAGCAAAACTCTGTCTAAAAAAAAAAAAATCACTAACACTTAACTCCCCTACTCCATTCTCCTTCCCTAGTTATTTTTTTCTTTATAGCCTTTAGCACCATCTGACTGACAGATTGTCCTTTAAATTTTGATATTTTATTCTCCAGGAACTTTTTACATCAATTTTGCTTTTTAAAAAAACAATTGTATTAAAATACTGTTTTTCTTGGTTACTGAGTTCTTTGCTCCCATTCCCTGCCCTGCTTAAATTTCACTGTATTGGTTTATTGCCTGTGTCCTCTCTAGAACGTAAGCCACACTGATGCAGTGAATTTTGTCTATTTGGTTCTCCTCACTGTCCCCAGTGTCTACAGCAGCAGCTTGTACCTGGTAGCTACCGAAAAACTATTTTGTGAATGGAAATTTGAATTCGTGTCTTAAAGACTGTCTTGGGCACTGTAAAAAAGGTGTCTTTCTCCAACTGTTTCACAACGTTATATTACTTAAATGGAAAGCCCATAAAAATCATAGGATAGATTAGAAACCAATTGCCCAGTGTGTCACCATGGTTACAATGTCGCAAGCGGGTCTCCTGGAGGAGTGGGTGGGGCCTGGCAGTGGGCGGAAACATCACACTTAAATCATCATAGAGTTACACCTCCCAAATTCCTAGAGAATACTTCCGTCAGCTCCGGCCAATCAACGATCTTGGGGAAAGCCGGGTTCTCTCTCTTTGGCTAAACTTCCGGAAAACCTCTCACTCGTGTCTAGAGTGGGGCGGGGCCAGAACTCTCGTAACTCGCCCCCGTCCCCGCCCCCGTGAGCGCGACTTTGCGATTGGCGAGAAGGGCGGGAATTGCTCGTGGCGCAGGCGCGCTGTTCTGACGCGGCGGTGGTCTTGAGCGCGGCTTGGGCTGGGATTGCGGTAGGTGAACGTGGGTGACTGCCAGACATGAGAGACGGGTGCAGGCAGCTGAGTGAAGTGAGCACACAGTTCTGGGCGCGGAGACCTAGGACCCTGGTGTCCGTTTTCCCACGTGCATCCTGTCCTTGAGTTGGGGCGGGCCGAGAATCACATAAACTTTTGGATACTCCTCGTCTCCTGGTCTCTGTGTCCTCGGAGGGCAGCACTTACTGGTAGCACTTACTGGTCTCCCTCGGTCGTCGTGAGAGTCACGCGGTGTTCTCGAAGTGCTAGTTCTGGAAAGGCCCTGGACCACCCGCTGCCTGAGCCAGCCTTCCTGTTTTATGTTGGAGAAAACGGAGGTCCGGAGCGAAGTAACTGGACAGGGGTTACCGAGCGAGTGACGGCCGAGCTGGTTTTTAGAACTAGGCCTGGGGTTCCATTGCTGTTTAATGTAGCACAGTTCGTGATGGAAACTGTAGGATTTGGAGGCGAGGACCTTGCCTTCCACGTCTGACCCTGCACTTATTTGCTGTGTGGCTTGACACAAGTGACTTTATATCTCAGAGCCTCACTTTTCTGAGTTAGGCCTCATCATCATAATAGCAGCACTTTATGGCACTTAATATGTATCAGGTAACGTTGTAAACGCTTTCTGTACAGCTTTTCTGATTAGTCTGGGGGGCAATGGTGAGTCAAAGAATCTTTAAAAAGACCTGGTCTGGAAGGGCTGACAGTGTCCCGCACAGAAAAAATCCACTGAATGACTCAGAGGCTGTTTGCCAGAGCCTGAACTGCTACGTATGTTAGTCACTATATTGCTTTCTAGATACTCCTTGTGGATAACTGAAAAATTAAGATAATTCTACTTATTCTCCTGTTCATATAAGCTGAGGGGTCTGAGGACAGACATGGTGCAAGTGGGGGAAGAGGGCTTAAAGCTCTCATTTAAATTATCCAGATAATTATATCATTGTACCTGTTTACTTTGTTCTTAGTTTATTAATGTATTTGATCAACAAATAATAATGGGCTAAATAGTAGGCATTATGCTAGACTCTGAAATTTAAAGATGTATAAAACTTCATGAACTCGTAATTTCAGCAAGGAATAGAATATTAAACATCGACACTGACCTCCCCTGTTGGCCCCTATACACACACCCAGAAAGAAAAAAAAAGGTGTGAAACATTATTTGCTTCTAATCCCTGGCACACAACAGTTTCTCTAAAATATTTTTGGAGATGATTCTTGCACCGTGTACTAAAAAGAGGCGTGTGCAGTGGAGCACAGAGGAGGTGCTTTCTCTGTTTAGAGGGGTTGGAGAAAGTTTCTTGGAATAAGTGAACCTTGAATTCGAATTGGAGTTGCTGGGGGTTGGGGGAGGTCAGTCTGTTTCAAGAATGATGAGCAACTTGCTGGGGTAAAAAGCTGTAAGAGTTGTGTTGGGATCAAAGTATGAAGAGCTTTGGTGCCATTCTGACAAAATTATCATGAGAGCCAGCAATTAATGGATTGTAAGCAGGGGAGTGATTGGGTCAGCTGTCTTTTTAGTTGGAGACTCATATGGAGACTGGACTGACAGGGTCAAGAATCATTCAGTTCATTTATTGATAGAACATGTATTGAGGCTGGGCAGTGGCTCACACCTGTAATCTAAGAACTTTGGGAAGCTGGGGCAGGCGGATCACTTGAGGTCAGGAGTTCAAGACTGGCCTGGCCAATATGGTGAAACCTTGTCTCTACTAAAAATACAAAAATTATCCAGGTGTGAGGGCACACACCTGTAGTCCCAGCTATTCGGGAGGCTGAGGCAGGAGAATTGCTTGACCCTGGGAGGCGGAGGTTGCAGTGAGCCAAGACTGTGCCACTGCACCCAGCCTGGGTAACAGAGCGAGACTTCGTCTCAAAAAAAAAAAAAAAAAAAGTGGGCATGGCAAAGCCAGATCAGGGAGGGGGTAGTGCTGAGATGAGGCTCATGTGGGCTTCAGCCTTATTCTAAGGGTAGCAGGAGGCCATTTTAAGCAAGAAAAGCTGTTACCATCTATGCTTGGGAAGTCTCCCCTGTGGCTGCAGCATGGAGAATGGATAGAAGGAGGGCAGGAATGGAAGCCAGCGACCAGTGGGGAGGCTGTTGCAACCCTCCAGGTGAGAGATAAGGGTGGCCTGGACCTGGGTGGAGGCTGTGGAGGGAAGAGGGACAGATTGGACAGCAAGTGAAGAGGTAGGAATGAGAGAGCCAAGAGGGCTGTGAATGTGGGGCACAGGGAGGGGCAGAGCAGGTGAACCCCACTTTCTGCTTTGGACAAGGTGCAACTTTTGCTGCCATTCACAATGATAGGTAGTGCCAAAGGGGGAGTGGGTTTGGGGGAGGATGCTGAGTTCATTCTGGGCCTCGGAGTTTGAAATACCTGCATGGTGTATTCTCCGGGAGGCAGGTGGAGATTTTGAGTCAGCCCTCAGCCTGCAGGCTGTCCAGGGAGTGTGTGCTGTGAAGAGGGAAGAGACCTATGACATTTCAATGTTGGGGGGAGGGAGCGGGACAAGAGAGGGATGTGTAAAGAACAGGGTTCGCAAGAGACATCGCAACTAAACATCAGCTGCAGTCAACTCCAGGGCAAGGGATTACAGTTGATTTTCTTTTCTGTTTTTTCCCTTTGAGACAGAGTCTCACTGTGTTGCCCAGGCTAGAGTACAGTGGTGCAGTCTCAGCTCACTGCATCCTCCACCTTACAGGTTCAAGTGATTCTCCTGCCTCAGCCTCCCAAGTAGCTGGAATTACAGGCGTGTGCCACCATGCCCAGCTAATTTTTGTAATTTTGGTAGAGATGAGGTTTTGCCATGTTGGCCAGGCTGGTCTTGAACTTCTGACCTCATATGATCTGCCCACCTTGGGCTCCCAAAGTGCTGGAATTACAGGTGTGAGCCACCATGCCCGGCCTTCTTTACTTTTTTGTTTTCAGATTTCCCCCCTAGTTTTCTATAATAATAATAGCAGACATCAATTGAGCTCATAGTACATGCCAGATACTGTCCCAAGAACTTTTTATAACTCTTCTAACTGTCCACAATAAGCCTACAAGGTAAGTCCTGTTGTTATTACCATTTCACAAATGAAGAAACAGCACAGAGGAGTTAAGACAACATGTCCTCAGCTACATAGGGTGCAGCCAGTGGGAGGCCCGACTGGAATCCAGGCTGCGTCATTCCAGAACCTGTGCAGTCACTACACACTGCTGCCTCTCCACAGAATGTTGTTAATGTTTTTATAATCAGGAAAATATTGATTTTTCAAAAACAGAAGTAAGAGTTTAGAGAAATAATGCTTTGGTCTGCTAGGATATTAGAAATGGAAGGATTTGTATCCGCAAATCAGTGGCTGTCTTAGAAGTTTGTTGAGAGCAGACTGGGTTGGCTACCTCATGGTGTTGGAACACAGGTGATGCTCATTCTCACACATCTCATTTTTCTCCAGGTGCCATTGCTTCCTAGTGCCAGGGTGTCATGGAAGGGCTGCTGACAAGATGCAGAGCATTGCCCACCCTGGCCACCTGTAGCCACCAGCTCTCTGGGTTTGTTCCTCATAGGTTTCACTACTGTGTCCCAGGAGGAGGGCGGCGCCTGCTGCTGTCTCGTGTGTTCCAGCCACAGAACCTTCGGGAAGACCAGGTGCTCTCCCTGGAGGGCAGATCTGGTGACCTGACCTGTAAGAGCCAGCGGCTGATGCTGCAGGTGGGCCTCATCTACCCAGCAAGCCCCGGCTGTTACCATCTCCTGCCGTACACCGTCCGTGCCATGGAGAAGCTCGTGCGAGTGATAGACCAGGAGATGCAGGTCATCGGGGGCCAGAAAGTCAACATGCCCAGTCTCAGCCCGGCAGAGCTCTGGCAAGCCACTAACCGGTGGGACTTGATGGGCAAGGAGCTGCTGAGACTTAGAGACAGACATGGCAAGGAATACTGCTTAGGACCAACTCACGAGGAAGCCATTACAGCCTTAATTGCCTCCCAAAAGAAACTTTCCTACAAGCAGCTTCCCTTCCTGCTGTACCAAGTGACAAGGAAGTTTCGAGATGAGCCCAGGCCCCGCTTTGGTCTTCTCCGCTGCCGAGAGTTTTACATGAAGGATATGTACACTTTTGACTCCTCCCCAGAGGCTGCCCAGCAGACCTATAGCCTGGTGTGTGATGCCTACTGCAGCCTCTTCAACAGGTTAGGGCTGCGATTTGTCAAGGTCCAGGCCAATGTGGGCAGCATCGGGGGCACGATGTCTCATGAGTTCCAGCTCCCAATGGATATTGGAGAGGACTGGCTTGCCATCTGTCCCAGCTGCAGCTTCTCAGCCAACATGGAGACACTAGACGTGTCACAAATGAACTGCCCTGCTTGCCAAGGCCCACTGACCAAAACCAAAGGCATTGAGGTGGGGCACACATTCTACCTGGGTACCAAGTACTCATCCATTTTCAATGCCCAGTTTACCAATGTCTATGGCAAACCATCCCTGGCTGAAATGGGGTGCTATGGCTTGGGCGTGACTCGGATCTTGGCTGCTGCCATTGAAGTCCTCTCAACAGAAGACTGTGTCCGCTGGCCCAGCCTACTGGCCCCTTACCAAGCCTGCCTCATCCCCCCTAAGAAGGGCAGTAAGGAGGAGGCGGCCTCCGAGCTCGCAGGGCAGCTGTACGACCACATCACAGAGGCAGTGCCTCAGCTTCACGGGGAGGTGCTCCTGGATGACAGGACCCATCTGACCATCGGAAACAGACTGAAAGATGCCAGTAAGTTTGGCTACCCCTTTGTGATAATCGCTGGCAAGAGGGCCCTGGAGGACCCTGCACATTTTGAGGTTTGGTGTCAGAACACTGGTGAAGTGGTTTTCCTCACCAAAGATGGAGTCATGGATTTACTGACCCAAGTGCAGACCATCTAAATGCCCCCAGCCCACCCCTGCCCCCATCTTGCAGTCTTGGTGCTCATTCTAACACTGCATTTTCCTACCCCTTTCCTGGACTGCTCTCTCCGGGAACAGCACAGCTCATGGAGGCTGAGATTATATTAGGGAAGCCAATTTTTCTCTAGTCATTTGTTCAGATTATTTGTACTTTAAGTTGTTAACTTGATCCCTTTCTTCAGACTGGCCGTGCTGCCATATACCTTTCCTTTTGTATTCCATGTGGAAGCTTCTAGGAGGCTGAGAGGCAAGAGACCCAAGCTCCAGTCTTGGCCCTCTGGTAAATCACTTCCCTTCTCTCAGCTGAGTTTTTCACATGTAGGATGAGACTGGCTGATGGCTGAAGGTCCTACAACCTTCCCCACCCGCCGTCAGTTTGACCACGGGCCTTTTGCTACATTCTGTCCAGAGAGCAGGTCTGCCAGCCCGCCTCCACTAAGAAGTTGGGCTGAGAGTGTGGGGAGAAGAATCGAGATCTGACTGCCACCAACTTACTGGTGACTTAGATTCATCCCCTCCCCCTGCTGGGGCCTCAGTTTCCCCATCTGTAACTTGAGAAAATGGAACTAGATCTGTAACATCCTTATACGTGTCACTGGGGGGTTCCATGAGAGGTTTGTGACAGGCAGATCTGGTTCCTCTGATCCTCCAGTCTGTTTCCTGGAAAGTTAATGTAATTAACTGATGGCCCAAAAGCTACCTCAAGAGACCTGGCCCTATTAAAATGGCTTAAGCACTGAGATCATGTTCTATTGATTGAATAAAGTCAAAGTATTAGAAGGAGCCTTGCACATTAATTTGAAACAAGGATAACATCTGCCATTTCAACTGTGCAACAGCTTCCTACTCTTTTCTTTCTTTTTTGACTGTTCCCACACACCCCCACCCCCCACATAAAAAACCGGGTGGTTGGGAAAATGTGGTTTAAACCATCTCTTCCCACAAGTATGGGGGCAGCAGGCTTCAGCTGCCATGGTGACCTTATCCTAGGTGCAGTTTTATCCTAGAGCCATAATGGGGTGAATATTAAGAGCTGGTCTCTTGTGTCCTTCATGTAGAAGCTGTGCTTTAAAAAAAAAAAGCTGCTCTCTGCCTGAATTCTGTGGCAAACAGCGAAGGCTTGAACTACCTCAGCAATGCCAATGACTTTCATTGCTCCTGCATCCTAGATTAGGAACATAACCCAGTTTTCCATCCGTGGCCCCCTAGGGTCTCTACATGTCTGTATCTGACAAGAATCTATCAAGACCAAGCTCAGCCAGCACCTAAAAAGCTGCCTAGCAGCTCCAAATAGTGGTTCTCCTGCCTCCCACAGCACCGATCGCATCCCTTCCTGTTTTGTGCGTACACAGCTCATTGTACAGTGGTCCTGCCTCTTGATGGTGAGCTCCCTGAGGCCAGGGCCCTGAGCTAATTCCTAGTGCACTACAGTTCTTGTTTTGGCCAATGGTTCCACCTGCTAAACAGCCTCCAGGCAGCCTGATACTGGTAGAGGAACCCCGTTCCCAAGCACACAGTACCAGGTTTTCTTTTTTTAGTTTTGGGACGGAGTTTCTCTCTTGTTGCCCAGGCTGGAGTGCAATGGTGTGATCTAGGCTCACCGCAACCTCCGCCTCTCGGAGTCATGTGATTTTTCCTGCCTCAATCTCCCAAGTAGCTGGGATTACAGGCATGTGTCACCACATTCGGCTAATTTTGTATTTTTAGTAGAGATGAGGTTTCTCCATGTTGGTCAGGCTGGTCTTGAACTCCTGACCCCAGGTGATCTGCCTCTCATAGTGCTGGGATTACAGGCATGAACCGCCACACCCAGACAGCATCAGGTTTTCTAATAAATGTGTATGCCAAGCCCTACCAGCTCCCAGCCCTGCCAATTGGAGCTCCAGGCCCAGGGTTCCTTTGAAATACTTCAGATTTTCAGGCTAGGAGACGTGCATTCTGAGAGCAAACCTAGTAAGGCTAGATTACAAAGCAGAGGATCTTAACCATGCACATTGGAATCACCTGGGTCCCACCCAGATGGTTTGGTTACTTGTAGGGTATGGCCTGGGCATTGGGAAGTTTAAAGCTTCCCAGCCGATTGTAATGTGCAGTCAAAGTCAGTTGAGAGCTCCAGGTGTAAGAGCTGCCTCCTCTGGACCCACTTTGTAGCTGGGCATTTCTTTTAGTGATTTCAGTTGTTCATTATCAGACTGATATGCTCCCTCTGCTTTTAATGGGCTGGCCATTTATTTGTTGAGGATCCACCATATGCCACCGGTGTGAGGCACTTTTTAATTTTTAATTTTTATTTTTTAGAGATGGGGTCTCCCTATGTTGCTCAGGCAACAGGTTTCAAACTCCTGGCCTCAAGCAATTCTGCCTCAGCCTCCTGAGTAACTTGGGACTATAGTTGTGGACCATCACAGTGGCTTTTTTTTTTTTTTTTTTGAGAGACAGGGTCTCACTTTGTTGCCCAGGCTGGTCTCCAACTCCTGGCTTCAAGTGATCCTCCTGCCTCGGCCTCCCAAAGTGCTGGGATTACAGGTGTGAGCCACCGCACCTGGCCACTGTTAGGCACTTTATATACCATTTTCAGAATTTACAATTGTGCAAGGTAGATGCTGTGATCTCATTTTACAGATGAGGAAGCATGAGGATCTATTTCAGCAATTTATCCAAGGATGCACAGCTATTATGATCACAGCTAGATGGCAGGCACTAGTCAGACTGCCCTTCTCACGACACTGCTTAGCCTCTGTAAAACTAAATTACGTATATCTTTCTAACCAAGTTAGCCTAAAGTATGTGAGAAATCAAGATTCATGTAAATGGGTGCTTTAAATATTTTCAAGAGACAGGTGTTTGCCTGGGCACGGTGGCTCAAGCCTGCTATCCCAGCACTTTGGGAGGCTGAGGCCAGAGGATCACTTGAGCCCAAGAGTTCAGGACCAACCTGGCCAACATCTGGGCATGGTGGCACATGCCTGTAGTCCCAGCTACTTGGGAGAGGCTGAGGTGGGCAGATCGCTTGAGCCCGTGGGGTGGAAGTGAGCTGAGATGGCACCACTACACTCCAGCCTGGGTGATAGAGCCAGACCCTGTCTCAAAAGAAAAAGGTTTTCCATAAATATTTAAAAAAAGAGAGAGGCGGGTTCTTGCTATGTTGTTCAGGCTGGACTTAACTCCTGGGCTATGCGGTCCTCCCAATTGAACCTCCCAGGTAGTGTGCCACTTTGACTGGCTAAATAATTTTTATTTTTATTTTTTGGCTAAATAACTTTTTAACTTTAAATTTATGCTCCATAAGCTTACTTGTTTATGGGAGGTTAGCCTAATATAAGCACTTTTAAAAACTAGATTCCAGGAATAGAGAGCCAGTTCATTTTACTTTTCATTAATGTGCAAGGTCTAGACTGACTCGAGGATGATCTAGAATCCTGGAGCTTTAGAGTTTAGGAAAACTTGAAGCTGGCCTTGGCTCTGTGCTGGGAAGTGGGCCTGGAGCAGGAATGAGGCACGGATGAAGTGAAGCAGGAATGAAGCGGGCCTGGAGCAGGAATGAGCACGTCACACATCATCAGACTTGCAAGATGCCTGAGGACAGGACAGGCGCCAGTCCACTCTGGTCGGTCCTGCTGAGTGAAGAGAAGACTGGCTGGATCAGCCTCTGAGCTGCCAAAGCTGTGTGAGTTCGTGAAGCAGATGCCCATGCTTTTTAGTTTACAATAGGGAGAGAAATACAGGGAGGACACCGATTTGCCCAAGGCTGAATGAAACCTATGTGTCCCGCGTTTTTTCTAGTAGCCAGGGGCAGCATGATTTGGTGAAGAGACATAATCCTAGATCACTTACTGGGATGTGACCACAGACAGATTAGTTGCCCTATGTGCATCTCAGATTCTTCATCAGTGAGACACTCGTGCAAATGGTACCCGCCTTGTATCGGGGGCGGGGGCGGAGGGTTGGGGCTTGACCAAGCTCACTTATATGAAATGCTTCATTACCCCTTAGTCTGCACTCAGACACTTACTTCCCTTACACCAGACGACTTAGGAAACCCCCCCACTGGGAGCTCAGGTTCTGTTGTTAACTTTGTTATCTCAAGACCTGGATCTTGTTTTCTTGATAAGATACTTCACAACTTTCCTGGGAAATGCCACAGGCAAGAATTAGGAGGCACCTGCAGAATAGCTGTATCTCCTTAGAGGAAAGACAGAAATACTCAAACTGTGTACCTTACTGTCTATTTCTGACCTTGCCAATTTTACCTCTTGCCATAAATTGATGAAATGGGATGCTGGCAAAATAGCAGGTACAGGCTGTATTATCATTGCTCATTCCTTGGGGAGATCTAGCAGCGACTGCCTGGGAAATATTTAGCAGAATTCGTACTTGGGGACAAAGGCTGGTGCATAACAAAACCATTGTGTAAATCAGGCTTAGAATGTAAATCAGGGGCTCCATTAATATTCTGTGTTTTAATGGAAGAAACACCTGCTGGGCTATTCATAAAGGAGTTGTGCAGAAATCTGCTGAAATTGTCGTTTCCTTAACTACTTGAGTGCCAGGTCTCCAGAGTTCCCACAATCCGTTTCCACACCAAGATGCATGAATGCCTTTTAGAATGGATTGTTATGCATCCAAGGGCATGTGAGGCTTTGTTTTAGAGTTAGGAAAATGATTTTTAAGTTTTCTTATAATGTGGAAAATGGGAACATGTTTTTATGATGTTATTGCAAACTTAAGTAACATTTGAAAAAAGTCAAGGTATTTTGTGTAACTTAATGAGGCTGGGCACACGCCTGTAATCCTAGAGTTTGAGACCAGCCTGGGCAACACGGCAAAACTCCATCTCTACAAAAAATATAGAAATTAGCTGGGCGTGGTGGCAGGCACCTGTAGTGCCAGCTATTTGGGAGGCTGAAATAGGAGGATGGCTTGAGCCCAGGAGACAAGGTTGCAGTGAGCCAAGATCGTGCCACTGCATTCCAACCTGGGCAACAGAGAAAGACCCTGTCTCAAAAATAAAATTACTTATAGTGACCCCAACTACAGACTCTGGAGTCAGACTGTGCCACTTACTATCTCTCTGGCACTTGTGCAAGGCACTTCCTCATAGTCCCTCCACTTCAGTTCTTTATCTGTAAAATGGGGATAACAGTGCCTGGCCCACAGCAGATGCTCGGTAAGTGGAGCTGCCTGTATACTGAGTGATACTTTGCACAGAAGGTAGCTGGGTGATGCACTATGGCCAGTAGAATGGATGGCAACTTTAAGCACCATCTTGGTGCAGGGGTTCCTGTCAAGCCAGCAGTGCCCAAGGCTGCTAATGAGCCCCTATGGTTAAAGCTTAATTGCTCTTAGCTAATTAAAACTGTGCAGGACCAGGAGAGTGAAAAGGTGGCACCAGTTCATGGTAACTCAGGATGCCCTTTTTCCAGGGCAGCACTTGCTGCCAAGGCTTGCCAAAAAAAACTCATAGGCTGACGGGAGTCCCATTGGCAGGGTGTTGAGTGCTATGGGGATTCAAGCGTCGGCTCTGGCAGGGGTTTCCGCAGACAGTGGACTGTTCTACCCAGGCAGACAGTTTGGGGACACTGCATGACAGTGAGTGCCAAGACTTTACCATAAGCTTGGACTGAGAAGGCAAAGGCAGCTGGGTCTATTGGAAACTCCTTGAAGGCAGGGGGCTGGTCTCATTAATATCTCCTGAGGGGCTTAGCAGAGTCCTGAACTCAAGTTCTGGTTCTACTTTTCATTAGCTAGCTGACTTTGGGCAAGTTACTTAACCTCTTTGCACCACTTTTCCTGTCAGTAAAATGGGGCTATGCTACCTGCCTTCTAGAGGTGTTGGGAGGATTAAGTGAACCAATCCAAATAAAGCACCAAGAATGTTGCCTGGCATATCCTAAGTGCTCAAGAGGTGGCAGCTGCTGTTACTGAGCCAGGCAAGCACAGGCACTACCCCTGGAATATGCCAGAAGGCCCTCCCACCTAACCGCACCCCCTGATTCCTTCTTCAACTTCATGATCCAAGTCCATCATATGTGGTAGCTTCCATCCTTGATCTGTTCAGAATTAATCACTCCTTGCTCTATATCATCAGCCAGTAATAATTTGTTGTGCATCTACTACGTGCTGAGCAGCTGCAGTACTAGGCTCTGGCACTACAGAAGTACACAGCTTAGGGCCCCTGACTCAGTTTACAGAGAGCAAGAACCATCAAGGGAACAATTAGTGTAGTGTGGTGTGGGTGCCATGGGGACACGTGGGATAAGGAGACAGGGAGGGCTTCCTGAGGAGGCATTTGGGCCTGATTGAAGGCTACATGTTAAATAGTGAAGGGAGGAGCAGTTGTGTGTAGAAGGGGAACAAGTGGAAAGAAGAATGGTCCAGGCAGAGAGAACAGGATTCACAAAGCCCCAAAGCTCAGAGCATGGTGAGGTTAGGGAAGAGAAAATAACAATGTCATAGATTGAACATGTAATTTGAGGCAAGCTGTGTCCCATATGCTTCACGTAGATTAATGCATTTAATCCACATAAGACCTGCATGAGGTAAGTGCTGTTATCCTGCTCATGTTACAGATGAGGAAACTGAGGCACAGAGAGCCTATGCAAAGTGCCCAAGGCCTCCAGCTAGTATGCTGTGGGGCTGGGATTGGGATGCAGGTGCCTGACTCCACAACCAATCAATACTCAGCCCCTGCATCCTCCTGCCCCACAGCTGAACCATTCAGGATGGCTGGGCTGAGGAGGTCAGAGTGGAAGCTGTAGAGGTGGCGGGGGCCCAGATCCTGAATGGCCTTGAATGCCACACGAAGAGCGCTGATGACAGAGTCACTGGGGGCTCAGAGCAGGGCTGATGACAGACTTGCCTGTTGTGGCTGTCTTTATCTTCATTGGAGCAGTTTCCAGGCCGTTAGATTTATTGCATCCATTTAACAGCATAACCTTGAAGGCAGAGGCTGCCTGATGCACTTCAGCCTCGATGCTCTGCTCGAGGCAGGTGCCAAATAAATGTTTGTAAGGCAAATGGAATAAGGAACACAGAGGAGGAAGGAGGGCTCTGGAGTGAGGTGCTTGGGTTCAGTTCTTGGCTTGGCACTCACTAGTGGGGTGACTGTGTGCCTCCATGGCCTTATTTATAAAATTAGATAACAGACCCAAGAGGATGGCCATTGGGATTAAGAGAATCCAGGTACAGTGGTTAGCTCAGTGCCAGAATTCAGTGTGAACAGTGCCTTTCTTGGCTTGCCTACAGTGTATTTCAGGGGGCTTTGTCCCCAGACCCCCTTCTTCAGCTGCCACCCCAAATCCATAGAGGTAACTAGACAGAAGTCAGGTGGTCCCACCTCCATCACTGATCTGATCCCTGTCCCTGAGAAGGAAGGGCAGCACTCTGCTTCAGGGATGGTGGGTGCAAGAGGCTCTGCCCTGTGCTCACGTGTATGGATGTGAGTGCAGGTGCCTTGGCCTGGCCCTCATAGATGAGGCAGGGAAAGTTGGCTCTGCTGGAGTCCCAGGCATGGGCACGGTGGCAGGGGAGGCCCACATCCCCTGCAGAGAGCATTGGCCTCACTCCTTGTCCCATCAGCTGGAGGAAGGGAAGTGCTCAGGGCCCTTCACCTGGCTAGCCTGGCTCCTGGAGATGCACCGCTGCAGCAGGGCCTAGGCTCCGCACTGGCTGCCGTAAGCAAAGGACCTTCCTGAGCTGCACATGAGCCAGCCACAGCTGGACTCCCACCCTGGCCCAGTTCTAGTCCTACCCTCGGCAGGTTCAGGGCAGAGGGAAGCCCTGCACTTTCTGTGGGCAGGAACCCGGAATGCAGGTGCAGCCACACTTTGCAACCAGAATAGATGCATAGCGGAGGCCAAAAAAGACAGAGCCTGGGAATGCTGTTGCTGAACTTGTGTGTGCAAGTGGGTGCCTGGGAACAGGGCACTGGCTTATTTTATTCTTTCATTCATTAGTTCGTTCTTTCGTTGGTTCATCCATCCATCCACTCAGCTCACACACACACACAGAGCTTACCTGCTGGAAGGGGAGGCAGACACCTGGACATCCTGGTGCCATGCAGTATTACGGGGACAGGACAGATGGAGGGTGAGTATGGGGGTATGTGCATGCACATCAGGGAAAGCCAGCTCTGCCAGCAGGCAGTGGAAACATCCTAGCAAAGAAAACATCTCTGAAGATAGGTGGGTTTTGGGCAGGTAGGCCAGGCAGGGGAAGGACATTCCAAGTAAAGGAAACTGGAGCAAAGGCATGGACATATGAAGCATCTGGTGTGTTAGAGGAACTGTAATCAGGTTGATGTGAGCAGTTGGGGAAAACCCCTGGAGAGGCCAGGGTTTGGGCACAGTCAGGGTAACTGGGTGGACTGCTGTTAGGCGGCAGAGGCAGCCCCTCACCCCACTGGCTGAGGATTCAGCTCTAGGCCTCGCTGGGCCTTTAAAGCAGCAGGAATACCTATGGAGAGATTGCTGGTGGCAGGTGCCATGTCCAGGGACAGGGAGCCTGCTGATCTCAAGACCCTGCATCTGGTTTTCTTTGCCACCTTCTGGGGCTTGCAGATCTGGGTGATATTTCTTTCAGGCACGTCTCAGGGAAGGGACTTGTCCAGCTCATGATTTTGGCTGTGTTCCTAGGGTTGCTGAGCACTACTTATCGCATGCCAGGCACTAAGCAAAGGCACTGAATATGCTGCAACTCCTGGAGCACTGCAGCACTCCCTAACCCCCCCATATTTGGCAGGATTTTTGCCCCAATTTACAGAAGATCACGTTGAGGCTCAGGGTGATTAACTGACATGCACAAAATCTTTTGCAGCAGAGCCAGAGTTCAAACTAGTATCTGCTGGGTATCAAGAACAATTCTAAGTGTAAATCAGGCTTAGAATCTCTCGTACAGGCCAGGCGCAGTGGCTCACACCTGTAATCCCAGCACTTTGGGAGGCTGAGTTGGGCGGATCACCTGAGGTCAGGAGTTCGAGACCAACCTGACCAACCTGGAGAATCCCCATCTCTACTAAAAATAGAAAATTAGCCAGGTGTGGTGGCACAGGCCTGTAATTCCAGCTACTCAGGAAGCTGAGACAGGAGAATCACTTGAACCTGGGAGGCAGAATTGTAGTGATCCGAGATTGCGCCATTGCACTCCAGCCTGGGTAATAAGAGTGAAACTCCATTTCAAAAAAAAAAAGGAATATGAAGAAAGGGGGAAAAAGCTACAACTCATGCTGTCTGTAGGCTAGAACACTACCTTCCTGGTGAGGATTTATGCTACATCTGTTTAAAAGGAATAATAAGGCTGGATATGGTGGCTCACACCTGTAACCCCAGCACTTTGGAAGGCTGAGCCAGGCATATCACAAGGTCAGGAGTTCGAGACCAGCCTGGCCAACATGGTGAAACCCCGTCTCTACTAAAAATACAAAAATTAGCTGGGCATGGTGGCGCATGCCTGTAATACCAGCTACTCAGGAGGCTGAGGCAGGAAATCGCCTGAACCCGGGAGGCAGAGGTTACAGTGAGACAAGATTGTGCCATTGCACTCCAGCCTAGGCAACAGAGCAAGACTCCATCTCAAAAATAAATAAAAATAAAAGGAATAATAAGCCTTACAGGATGCAGTACTTTCTAGTATATTGTTCCCATTGTTTAGATAGAAAAACCAAGGCCCAGGGAGGGCAGGGACTTGCTAGGATTAGGCAGTCCCTGGGCACTGGCCCTGTCAGCAGGTCCTAGGGCTCCTGCCTTCTATCCAGGTCAGTGGCTTATGCCTGTAATCCCAATGCCTCGGGAGGCTGAGGTGGGAAGATCACCTGAGACCAGGAGTTTGAGACCAGCCTTGGCAATGGTGGGAGATCCCATCTCTACAAAATATATATTCTAATTTTTAAAATAAAAATAAAGACACAGGTCCCCTTTCAGTCTGGCTATGCCTCTGGAATCCAGGATTTCAGGAGATGACTCCTAAGGGCTGAGTCCACTTGTGGAGAGGCCCACCCTTCATGAGGCCTTAGAGCCATGGCAGTTCCTCATCTGGGATCAAGTCAGGGGAGAATCATCCTAGGCAAAGAGTTGTCCTATAGAGCAGCAGTCCCCAACCTTTTTGGAACCAGGGATCAGTTTAGTAGAAGACCATTTTTGGGCCGGGCCCCGTGGCTTAGGCCTGTAATCCCAGCACTTTGGGAGGCCGAGGCGGGTGGATCATGAGGTCAAGAGATCGAGATCATCCTGGTCAACAAGGTGAAACCCCATCTCTACTAAAAATATAAAAAAATTAGCTGGGCATGGTGGCGCATGCCTGTAATCCCAGCTGCTCAGGAGGCTGAGGCAGGAGAATTGCCTGAACCCAGGAGGCGGAGGTTGCGGTGAGCCAAGATCGCACCATTGCACTCCAGTCTGGGTAACAAGAGCGAAACTCCCATCTCAAATAAAAAAAACACCACCAAAAAAAAAGACGACCATTTTTCCACAGGGCAGGGAGGAGGATGGTTTTGGGATGAAACTGTTCCACCTGAGATCATCAGGCATTAGATTCTCATAAGGAGCACACAACCTAGATCCCTCATGCACACAGTTCACAGCAGGGTTTGAGCTCCTATGGGAATCTAATGCCAGCACTAACCTGACAGGAGGTGGAGCTTAGGTGGTAATGCTTCTCCACCCGCCGCTCAACTGCTGTGCGGCCTGGCCTCATTCCTAACAGGACATGAACTGGTACCAGTCTATGCCCAGGGGCTAGGGACTCTTGCTATTAAAGTGCCTGGTACCCATAACAACCAATGCTTACTAAGCACCTACTAAGTGCCAGGTGCCAGCTATTTAATCTTCAAAACAATCCTCTGAGAAGATACTATTAAACTTCCTCATATATAAGGAAGTTTAATCCTTATGTGCTAACAATTCCTAAAATTACTTTCTCTGCCTCTCCTAGGTCTAATGGTAGGGAGTGCACAAAAGACCTCATGTCCATCAGCCTCCTGGTCCTCAGGCCCTAAAGTGGCCAAAACAAGGCTTAGGAAGAAATGGAATACTTACAAAGAACTTCAGCTTCCTGGCCACAAGCCACAGGCAGGGACCAGCACCTGGGAGCTGCGTGGTTCTTTGTAAGTATTCCACAGCCAATTTCCTTTCAAAGACAGTGAGGCATGCTACACAAAACTCAAAATCAGTCCATGTTTTTTTTGAGATGGAGTTTCGCTCGTCTCCCAGGCTGGAGTGCAGTGGTGCGATCTTAGCTCACTGCAACCTCTGCCTCCTGGGTTCAAGCAATTCTTCTGCCTCAGCCTCCTGAGTAGGCAGGATTACAGACGCCTGCCACCATACCTGACTAATTTTTGTATTTTTAGTAGAGACGAGGTTCGCTATGTTGGCCAGGCTGGTCTCCAACTCCTGACTGCAGGTGATCCACCTGCCTCAGCCTCCCAAAGTGCTGGGATTAAAGGCATGAGCCACCGTGCCTGGCCTCCAATAGTCCACTTTAAGGACAGCAGCTGGTTTTAGTTTACTGATGTATTAGTCAGCTCTGCTATAGTAACAACCAATCCCCAAATCTCATTGCTTACTATGGCAAACATTGCTCTCTGATTCCTGTGACACTCAGTGGCTGCAGGCTAGCTGCTTTAGCTCAGCTCCATGGAATGGTTCCTCTGTGGGAAATGTGTTCTCATGGCAGAGGGAGGAGCATGGGCCAACCACACATGGCTCTTCAGGCTTCTGTCAGACACAGGACAGCTCATGCCTGCTCACATCCCTCTGCATCGGGAGCAAGGAAGTAAGTACACTCTCCCAGGGGATGGGGTGGGCACTGCAAGAAGTTACAGCTACAGGTCAGGATGGATAAACTCCTATACCCTATAACAACAGCCCAACACACTAGAAGATTTTCCAGTTTAAAAGACATAAAATCCTAAACTGTGAAAACTGCAAAGGAACTCAGAGGCCACTGTCCAAGTCTGTCACAGTCCTCCATGTGGCAAAGATAAAGAAAACTGGCAGTCTTTTTAGGGGTACCAGGGACCTCAGTTTGTATGGTCTTTATAAATGCAGAGCAGGATGTGGCTTTCTGCCCCCATTTCACCTCGAGGCATCTATAGCAACCTACCTGGCTCCGCACAGTTTGTTTGTGTGGAGATGTGCGGTTTGAGGGGTAGCCTCTCTAAGGTATCGAACTCCACAAAGTTCAGAAACATGTCACTGGATCCTGAATTCATCTCCACAGATCAGGGTGTCACTCAGGTCAGCTGCTGTGGTAACTGCAGCAGATGGTCCCTTTAGAGATGGAGTCCAAGGACGTCATATGGCCAAGACAGAGTTTTACATCAACTGAGGAAAGTGAAGACCAGCCAGAGAGGCTGGAAGGACTATCTCCAGGGTGACAGAAATAAAGCATTGGACTCCAGCAGTATGTCCAGCTGATTCAGGTGTGCTAGGTTCCCAGCAGAGGAGGGTGAGGGAGGAGATCCAGAGGGACTGACTCAGTCATCTTATCTGGTGTACCTTTCTCCCCCAGAGATAATTCTTGCAAAAAGGAGAGGATCTTACACAGACCAAAAATGCTGGTGTCAGGGCTTTTACAAAGTACCTGCCGTGAACACATTTAAAAGAGAGGGCGTTAATTGAATTACAATCTTAATCATCCATCCATCTTCCTAACAACATTCAAGGTGAGCCTTTGGATGTGAGTCAACATGAAAATGCAAGTTTAGCACAGTTACTTGGTTGTTCACAAATCTAGCAAATGAGCATGACATTCTCATCCTTACAACCTAGCCAGAACCTTTAGGCCAGTTCTTCCGCATCATGCATGTCTGTGGCTAAATTCGAAATAAAACTATAAAACAGTTTCATTCATTAAACATTCAGTGGTAAGCCAGGCCCTGTGCTGAAAACACAGAGATTAAAAAACAAAGACACACACCATCATCTTTGTTCTTAAATTCAGTCCTAGAGGGGAGGGAGATGAGAAACCAGTTAATGACAGCAAGGCACAACTGCAGAAGCATTTGTGAGGCATAACAGTATCCCAGGGAGGCACGATTTCCTCTTCGGGGAAGGAAATCAAAAAAGTCTTTCTGGAAGATGCCATGTCTGAACTTGGCTGTAATTTGGAGAAGGGGTGGTGATGGGGGTTGAGGAGCCAAAGCCAGGAGGTACAAGTAACCACAAGGTTTGCTGGCTAGGGCACAAAGAAAAAGGAGTGAGGCAGGCTGGAGAGGCAGGCAAGGCTTTGGCCTCCAGGGACAGGGGTGTTGCATTACTCAGTGGACTGGGTTTGGGACAGAGGGCCTATTTCGTGGCATCACCCAGTTTAGGGTCTAAAGTTGCCAGAAACCAGTCCTGCATAGCCTTTTGCCTATGGCAATAGTTTTAAGGCAGTAACTTCCAACAGCATTTACATGTGGTATGATCATAGCTCACTGCAGCCTCAAAATGCTGGGTTCAAGTAATCTTCCTGCCTCAGCCTCCCAAGTACCTAGGACTACAGGTGCACACCACCAAACCTGGCCAATTTTCTGAGAAGCATGAAATTGGTTTCCTCCAAGCATCTGTCTGTTTTCTATTCAGATTTCTCCTACTCTCCTGAGTAGGACAGAACTCAGGCCTTTAAAGAATTCTGGGTAATTTGCTAACAACTGAGAAAATGAGCAGCTGAAAATTTGTCCACAAACTAGAAGAAGAAAGATTTGGGACCAGAGAAAAACACCATTAAAGCTATCAATCAGATCTCGAAAAACCTTTCCTTCCTGTCTACCAAGCCAAAGCCAAGGCATTAAGACTAGCTGGACACCCCCATCACATCAGTCAACACTTCACCAACTCCCATCCAATCTGCCTCCTAAACCTCCTTCTAATCCACCTCCTCCTACTTCAGGCCTTACCATTGAACAGTACACTTCAAATCTTTACTCTTACTCTGTAATTTTTCTGGGGGAGGGGGATGACAGGGTCTCACTATCACCCAGGCTGGAGTGCAGTGGTATGATCATAGCTCACTGCAGCCTCAAAATGCTGGGTTCAAGTAATCTTCCTGCCTCAGCCTCCCAAGTACCTAGGACTACAGGTGCACACCACCAAACCTGGCCAATTTTTTAAAAAAACTTTTTTTGTAGAGACAGGGTCTCCCTGTTTCTCAGGATGATCGCTAACTCCTGGGCTCAGGTGATCTTCATCCTCAGCCTCCCAAAGTGCTGGAATTACAGGTGTGAACCACTATACCCAGCCTACTCTGCACATCTTTTAAAATCTTTTAAATTTTTAAAAAGCAACCCTGGTGTACACCATGATCAGGATAACGTTTACGCCTCTTAGCAGGGCATTCAGGCCTTCCTGTATGGCCCTAACTTAGCTTTCTAGCCTCATTTCCTACCACATCCAACCACTCTCTTTACACTAATACATTGGGCTGTTTTAGCTTAAGCGCAAAAGCATCTGCTTTTCTCTTCTTTGCTTTGCTCAAAGTTTAAGGAAAAGTAGTCCAAGCATCAATTTGCAGATCTGCTGAGGGCATTCCCTTATAGTCCAGGAACACCTCACAGCTGCTGCTCTGAGACAACTGCCAAACCCCACTTGCTGCCACTGCTAATGACAAAGATGCCCTCCTACAGCAGGACTGCCCTGTGTAGTTCACAACAGCACTTGAACTCCTAGTCTCTCATTAGCTCAAATAACCTGAGAAATGTGTGGGCCAAGTATTACTCCTCTTCAAGAGATGAGGAGGGAGCCCCGGAGAGGCAGTGTGTACTTAGAGTCCTGCAGCCAGTAAATGATAATGGGTCTGACTTCAAGAGAGACCCAAAAGAGAGCCAATGCTCTCTTCAGATGACAGTATCAGAAGCCAGGACGATGGCATGCACTCGATATCCCAGCTACTTGGGAGAATGAGGCGGGAGGACTGCTTGAGCCCAGGAGTTCAAGACCACCCTGGAGAAGATACCCTGTCTCTATCATAAAAATAATGAAAAAAAAAAAAAATTGGGGGCTGGGTGTGGTGGCTCACACCTGTAATTTCAGCACTTTGGGACGCTGAGATTGGTGGATGGCTTGAAGTCAGGATTTGAGACCACCCAAGCCAACATGGTAAAAACCCCTCTCTACTAAAAATACAAAAATTAACCAGGCATGGTGGTGTATGCCTGTAACCCCAGCTACTCAGGAGGCTGAGCAGGAGAACTGCTTGAACCAAGGAGGTGGAAGTTGCAGTAAGCCAAGATCACACCACTGCACTCTAGCCTGGGTGACAGAGCAAGGCTCCGTCTCAAAAAACAAAAAAATGTTAATTGGATGTGGTGGCTCAAACCACTAATTCCAGCACTTTGGGAGGCTGAGGAAGGTGGATTGCTTGAGCCCAGGAGTTCAAGACCAACCTGGCTAACATGGTAAAACCCTGTCTCTATTAAAAAAAAAAAAAATTAAAAATAAGAAAAAACAAACAAAAGAAACAGTTATCAGGAGACACAGGTATAGGTACAATTAGGAAAAGGAAGGTTGGCTGGGTCCAGTGGCTCATGCCTGTAATCCCAGCACTTTGGAAGGCCAACAGGGGTGGATCTCCTGAGATCAGGAGCTTGAGACCAGCCTGGACAACATGGTGAAACCCCGATTCTATTAAAAATACAAAAATTAGCCAGGTGTAGTAGTGTGCCTGTAATCCCAGCTACTCAGGAAGCTGAGGCAGGAGAATTGCTTCAACCTGGGAGGTGGAGGTTGCAGTGAGCCAAGATCATACCATTGCACTCCAGCTTGGATGATACAGGGAGACTCCGTCTCAAAAGAAAAAAAAAAAAAAGGAAGGCCATCACAGCAGCCTTCATGTACATGTACAAAAGCCAGGCAGCTTCTCCCTTCTAAGACCGGCCTTGTTTATCTTCCCTGGTCTAGAGTGTCATGGCTGTGGTGCAGTGCACTATCATCACACTAGAGCGTGTTTGACCAATGGCTAAGTTTAAAGGGCCAGGCCAGTCTCCATGGCTGTTGTGCTCAGGGCAGAAGGGAGGGGAGTATGAGGCAATCAATCAGCAGTGGAATGAGAACCTGACTATACTCCTGGGATATTGCCTGAGTGATGTGGTTTGGCTCTCTATCCCCACCCAAATCTCATCTTGTGGCTCCCATGATTCCCATATGTTGTGGGAGGAAGCGGGGGGGGGGGGTTGACTGAACATGGGGGTGTATCTTTCCTGTGTTGTTCTCGTGATAGTGACTAAGTCTCACGAAATCTGATGCTTTTAAAAATGGGAGTTTTCAGCTGGGAGCGGTGGCTCACGCCTGTAATCCCAGCAGTTTGGGAGGCCAAGGCAGGTGGATCATCTGAGGTCAGGAATTTGAGACCAGCCTAGCCAACATGGTAAAATCCTGTCTCTACTAAAAATACAAAAATTAGCCAGATATGGTGGCACATGCCTGTAATCCCAGCTACTCAAGAAGCTGGGGCAGAATTACTTGAACCCAGGAGGCGGAGGCTACAGTGAGCTGAGATTGCGCTACTGCACTCCAGCCTGGGCAACAAGAGCAAAACTCCATCTCAAAAACAAAAAGAGAAATTTTCCTGCACAAGTTCTCTCTGTGCCTGCTGCCATCCATGTAAGAGGCGACTTGCTTCTCCTTACCTTCTGTCATGATTGTGAGGCTTCCCTAGCCACATGGAACTGTGAGTCCATTAAACCTCTCTTCTTTGTAAATTGCCCAGTCTCAGGTATGTCTTTATCAGCAGTGTGAAAACGGACTAATACACTGAGCATCTTCCCCAGTCTACTTGGCGCCATGAGGTGACTCACCTGTGGTGCTGTAGAACCTGTAGCAAGGTGCTCTTGGCGGGCACCCGGTACAGTTCTGCCCTGTCCTCATCCTCAAAGTAGACCTGCAAGATTAACAGAAGGGCAAGAGTCAGAGATAAAGCACTCTGGCAGCCTTAGGCATGTTTAGGCTAAGCCCAGGGAAAATTAAAAAGATGGCAATGGTTACTAGTTGAATGCTTCCTTTATACAGTTGTATAGCCAGGTGCTTTGCATTTAGTCCTCCTCATGCCACTGTAAGAGAGACTATTATCAGTTCCATTTTCCAAAGACAGAACCAAGGCCCACAGAAGGAGAACAACTTGCCAACATTACCCAGCTAGTAAACAGAGGAGTCAAGACTCAAGGCCAGACCTATATAGCCTTCCCTTCCCTAACAATTCCAACTAAAGCCATCCGGTATGTGAAGGAGAAAGCTATGGTGGCTCAGAGCAGGGGAAGAGCCTGAGGAAGGTAAGAAAGATGTCCATACAGGATGTCAGAGCCCAAGCAGGGTGAGAGCAAGCTGCCCAGGGTGGCAGAGCAGGACCAGTGGAGGAGGGCATCCATGCTGGGGGCCAGCCTGAACAGGGGAAGAAGTAATCCCTTGTAAGATGGCTGCCTAGGGTGGGGTGCCAGAGCTCATGTAGGGTGAAAAGGGTATCCATGCACGGGGAGAACTAATATGGAGTATACAGGCCCAACTAGGGTGAGGAGGATGACCACTCATGGCAGGGGGTGGCCTGTTATGGGGGGGTCAGAGCACAAGCAGGATGAGGAGGGTGTCCATGTAGGGTGGTTACGCAGTGCGGTATATCAGAGTCTGTGCAGGCTGAGGAAGGCACCCACACTGGGGTGGCAGCCTACCATGGGGAGTCAAGAGTCCACGTAGAGTGAGGAAGGCTCCACATGGGAGAGAGGCCAGTAGTGACAGGACGGGAACTGATCAAACAAATAAAACATATTAAGAATAATAAAGTCAGGCTGGGCATGGTGGCTCATGCCTGTAATCTGAATACTTTGGGAGACTGAGGTGGGTGGATCACTTGAGCCCAAGAGTTCACGAACAGTCTGGGCTATATGGTAAAACCCATCCCTACTAAAAATATAAAAATTAGGCATGGTAGCACATGCCTGTGGTCCCAGGTACTTGGGAGGCTGAGGTGGGAGGATCATTTGAGCCCAGGAGGTTGAGGCTGCAGTGAGCTAAGATCTCACCACTGCACTCCAGCCTGGGCAACACAGCTAGGCCCTGTCTCAAAACAAATAAATAAATAAAAATAAAAATAAAAAAATAGTCATCATTGCAAATATAGAAAGGGAGAAAAAAATCCTGTGGGTATTGGATTAGAGTTGGAGACACCAATGAGATGTCCTGCTTTTACACACACACACACACACACGCACACACTCCCAGCTGTGGCACTGACACACGCCCCAGCTGTGGCACTGAAAGCATTGAGGCAGTAAGCTTGCCTCTCTAGCCACATTGTATTAATCAATACACTTATTGCACAGAGATCTTGGCTTCTAAATACCATTCTTCACTAGAAAGAAACAGGGCTCCTTGGGGAAAATAGCTGATTCCCAGAGCTGGGGCAAGGAAAGCACATTTGAACCTATAACATCTTGTGTAAGAAAGCAATCACTTAAAAAATAGACACAAGTCAAAAGGACACAGGCAACAAATTAGAAGAGATTCTCCCTGGCCCAATCTGAGATATTTTGAGCATAAAGGAAGCAAACGTAGTAACAGATTGTAACTCATTAAATAAAACAAGAAACTACAAATCCACCGATATAAATAAATATGTTGAAGGTCTGATGAGCAATGGGATATTTACACCATTTCAAAGGATCTCCCTATAAAACATTTATTAATCATAATGAGAAAGTAACTGTACAGTAGAGAAGGCTGGCAGACCCCAAATCAATCAGGTGATCAGAGTGAACATCATCAGTAATGGGGCAAATGGAGATCACGTGATAGTGCAGTGCGAATACAGCATCACTTCTGTAATATTCCAGGCAAATATGCATGATCCAGGCCGTGTGCAGTGGCTCACACCTGTAATCCCAACACTTTGGGAGGCTGAGGTGAGCGGATCATTCGAGGTCCCGAGTTCGAGACCAGGCTGGCCAACATGGCAAAACCCCATCTCAACTAAAAATACAAAAAATTAGCCAGGCATGGTGGCAGATGCGTGTAATCCCAGCTATTCGGGAGGCTGAGGCAGGAGAATCACTTGGAGCTGGGAGGTAGAGGCTGCAGTGAGCCGAGATTGTGGCACTGCACTTCAGCCTGGGCAACAAGAGCAAAACTCCATCTCAAAACAAACAAACAAACAAACAAAAAAATATGCATAATCCAGATCTAGTCAGAAGGAAACATCAGACAAACCCATACCGACAGACATTCCACAAAATAAAGTGGTCTATAATTTTCAAAGGTGTTAAGATCAAGGAAGTGTTCTGCAGTTGAGACACATGATCACAAAAATATGAATAAAAAAAAATTTTTAAGTTAAAAAAAAAAAAAAAAAAGAGGAAAAACTGAGGAACTCTTCCACACTGAAGGAGACTAATGGGACATGATCACTAAATACAGTATGTGATTCTGAACAAAATCCTTTTGCTATAAAGAATTTGTGAAACCCAATGGAGTCTGAGGGTTAGATGGTAGCAGTGAATTAATGTAAATTTCCTGCTTTCATAACTATATGGGTTTTATAAAGAAAAATGTCCTTGTGTGTAGGAAATACACACTAGTATTCAGGGGTAATGGGACATCAGTTGCTGTCTTACTCTCAAATGATTAGAAAGAGATAATTCTTTATACTGGAAATTGTGATTTTTTTTAATTTAAGAAATCCCAACAATGGAATGTTATTCAGCCTAAAAAAGGAAAGAAATTCTGGCTGGGCATGGGGGCTCACGCCCGTAATCCCAGCACTTTGGAAGGCCAAGGCAGGTGGATCACTTGAAGCCAGGAGTTCGAGACCAGCCTGGCCAACATAGGAAAACCCTATCTCTACTAAAAATACAAAAAAAAAAAAAATTAGCCAGGCAGTGATGCATGCCTGTAATCCCAGCTACCCAGGAGCCTGGAACATGAGAATCGCTTGAACCTGGGAGGCAGAGGTTGCAATCATCTGAGATCGCACCACTTGCACTTCAGCCTAGGTGACAGAGTGAGATTCTGTCTCAAAAACTAAAAATAAATAAATAAAAAGAAAATTCTGGCCAGGCGTGGTAGCTTACACCTGTAATCCCAGCACTTTGGGAGGCTGAGGGGAGCGGACCACTTGAGGTCAGGAGTTCTAGACCAGCTACCCCATCTCTACTAAAAATACAAAAATTAGCCAGGTGTGGTGGCAGACACCTGTAATCGCAGCAACTTGGGAGGCTGATGCAGGAGAACTGCTTGAACCTGGGAGGCGGATGTTGCAGTGAGCCGAGATCCCACCACTGGTGCAAAAGAGTCTGGGCAAAAGAGCAAGACCGTCTCAAACAAAAAAAAAAAAAGGAAATTCTGACACATGGCACAATATGTATGAACCTTGAAGACATTATGCTAAGTGAAATATGCCAGACACAAAAACTGTATGATTCCACTTATACGAGGCACTCAGAGTTTCAATTTGGGATTATGAAAACGTTTTGGAGATGTCAGGTGGTAATAGTTGCACAACAATGTGAATGTACTTAATGCCACTGAACTGTATACCTAAAGATGGTTAAAATGGCAAATATTATGTCATGTATGTTTTACTATAATTTTCAAAAAAATAAAGCAGTCAATTCTTACCCACTCTACCAGCCTTCCAAACCCACCCCCCAAGCTGCAAAAAAAAATTCCATAGAGGAATGCAATAAAAGTTCTCTTACCTCCAAATTATCAGGGCAATATTTTTGCTCTAGGTCCCAAGAGGGTGTTTCACCAAACATCACCATTAGATGATCAATAAACCTAAGGATAAAACATGTACTTTCTGGGTATCAATAACTCATGATCTATTTTCCCACATCAGTTCCCAGACACTCATTCAGAGATATCTAGAATCTATAAAACATGAAATGCAGGCTTAACCCATTTCACAACAGTACCCAAAATGTGTGTATGTATCACCTGTCCTATTATGACATAATTTTCTTTTTTTTTTTTTTTTTTTGAGACAGGGTCTCACTCTGTCAGCCTGGCTAGAGTACAGTGGTGTAACAACAGCTCACTGTAGCCTCGACTGCCCGGGCTCAAGCAATTCTTCTACCTCAGCCTCCTGCATAGCTGGGACTACAGGCACATGTCACCATGACTGGCTTTTTTTCTTTTTTTGTAGAGATGGGAGTCTCACTATGTTACCCAGGATGGTCTTAAACTCCTGGGCTCAAATGATCCTCCAGCCTTAGCCTCCCAAAGAATTGGGATTACAGATGTGAGCCATGGCACCCAAATGACAGAATATTCTCTCTCTCTTTTTTTTTTATTTTTGAGACAAAGTCTCACTTTGTCACATAGACTGCAGTACAGTGGCACAATTTCTGCTCACTGCAACCTCCACCTCCCAGGTTCAAGCCATTTTTGTGCCTCAGCCTCCAGGCAACTGGGACTACAGGCACGTATTACTACGCCCAGCTAATATTTTTATATTTTTAGTAGATACAGTATTTAGCCATGTTGGCCAGCCTGGTCTTGAACTCCTGGTCTCAAGTGATCCGCCTGCCTTGGCTTCCCAAAGGGCTGGGATTACAAGCATGAGCCACCGTGAAAAGTGCTGGGATTACAGGCATGAGCCACCGTGCTTGGGGGACATAATTTTTTCAAAACCGATTCAGGCTTAAAAACATTTCTGGCTCACACCTATATAATTCCAGCACTTTCAGGGGCCAATGTGGAAGGATCATTTGAGCCCAGGAGTTCAAGACAAGGCTGGCAACACAGAGAGATTCTGTGTCTACCAAAGAATTTAAAAATTACCCAGATGTGGTGGTGTTCACCTGTGTGGTTCCAGCTACTTAAGAGGCTGAGGCAGGAGGATCACCTGAGCCTGGGAGATGGAGGCTGTGATGAGCCATAATCACGCCAATGCACTCCAGCCTGGGTGACAGAGCGAGACCTGGTCTCAAAAAAAAATTACAAAAATATTTTCTTACACTTTGCCTCATTCTATGCATTAACCCTATGAAATCACCAATAAGGTTGGCTAGTTTTATTTATATGTATACATATTTGACACAGAGTCTTGCTCTGTTGCCCAGGCTGGAGTACAGTGGTGCAATTTCAGCTCACTGCAACCTCCACCTCCCAGGTTCAAGCAATTCTCATGCCTCAGCCTACAGATGCCTGGATAGTTTTTTTTATTTTTAGTAGAGACAGGGTTTCACCATGTTGGCCAGGCTGGTCTCAAACTCCTGGCCTCAAGTAATCCACCCAACTCAGCCTCCCAAAGTGCTGAGATTACAGGTGTGAGCCATAGTGCCCAGCCTCTATATTTTTTTCTAATAAATATTCACTTAAATTGCTATGCATGTACTGCCTAAAATGACTTCATATTTCACCAGTGATGTGTACTACTCTTTGGCAAACACAACACTGTGGCATGACAATGAGACTTTTGTCTGTCGTTGCAAAGGTTCAGTCAGCTACAGGATAGAGAGGTTATTATCAAGCCAGATTGCGTGAAACCCTATAAACTATTATCTTTCCTTATCAACCAAAAACCTACTTGTCCTACTGCCACAAAAACAGAGACAGCATGCAAGGAAAAGCAGAGGGCTCCTGGGCAAGTCAGTACCTGGAGTCCTCATGAAAAGCAGAGATGAAGTCCGACTGGGCATACTCTGGGTACAGAAAGAGCACAGGCCAACTCAGCCTGCCCTGGTCATCTAGACTCAGGCTGGCTCCATGGGGGTTCTCAGAGCTGAGTCCATCCAGGAAAAGCTCACCTAGACCTTCTGAGGCTGCATCTTCATCCTCACAGGCAGTTTCAGAGAGCCTGATATTCCTAGCCTGGATTGAAGACAGAAACACACATAATACACACCGTGTGGGAAGATGCAAACCCATTCTACTAAAATAAAAAAAAAAAACGTTAACACCTAACTTTTTTTATATATTTTTTTTTTTTGTAGAGATGGAGCTTCACTATATTGTCCAGGCTGCACGACTAACTTTAGTTTTAATTTAATTTTCTCCATCTATACCCTGAATGAACATGGACAACTAACTTTAATACACCAAAAGTTAAAAAAAAACAAACAAACCACAACAATGCAAGCTCCCTGAGGGCCAGCTCTACACATAATCCATCGTCATTATTCCTGAGGCCTGGCGCATAGTAGGTACCACTTATTTAACTCACTTTCATTGGGCATCTATCTTGTGCTGGACCCTGTGTCACAGAGAACTAGAGATGGTTACCTGCTCTCAAGCCTCTGCTCAATATCAAGCAGAGAGACAGCTATGGAAATAATGACAATATAAGGTAAGAAGTAGAACTGTAGAACTGCAGACCATGGAATAATTAATTCAGCCTGGGGGCTGGAGGTGACTGAGCTATGCTAGGCCTTGAACAATGACTTTTAAAAGCAGAGAAGTTGGAAGGGAGAGGCACCTAGAAGGGAGGAAGAACGTTCCACTCCAAAGAGCAGCATGTGCAAAAGCATAGAAAAGATCAAGAAGGAAGCCTGTACAGAAATGTCAAATGCTTCAGTTTAGCTGGGACATGGAATATAGTAGAAAGAATGTGCATTGACTGATTCTTGACTGTCTCTTAGAAATGGGCATAAATAAAGGGTCTGAAATAATAGGGGCACCTCTTATGTATGTGTGCAGGGGTTCCTAAGGTTAGCACATGAGGGGAAATGACATGCAATCAAAATTAGATGTGATGATATCCCCTAAATTACAGGTTGGCAAACTTTTTCTTAAAGCATTAGATAAGAAATATTTTAAGAGTTCTGGACAATAGTCTCTGTCAAAATTAACTACCCAACTCTGCCACTGTAGTGTGAAAACAGCCATAAGTAGTGCATAAACAAATAGGCAGGGCTGTGTTCCAATGGCTACAGTTTACTGACTCCTCCCTTAAGCCATTAGTACTAAAAATACAGCATACATGACTCTGTGCACTTTTGAGAGTAATTCCTATGTATGTTAAGTTTGAGATGAAGGATTACACTAAAGGAGAGATCTGCGAATGTCTGGGTGTCTGGGCATCCTGTATTCTACCTTTAAGAAAACGAACAAATCCCTCACTGTGAATGAGAATTAGATGGAAAATCTGGAGTATTTTAATCTGTTTAATGCGATAATATGTGTAAACAGATTGTTGTGGGGAGAGAATAGTGGAGTACATTTTAACAGTGTTAAGCTTCTTACAGAACATAAATGGGTGCATAATTTAACTGAACAAATAATGAAACAAAAGACCTCTTCCACAGTCTCCCAGTAGATATTCTCTCTCCTTGTTTGTGAAGACCAAACAAGCTCAAACAAGTGACTTCCTAGGTAACAAGGTTAAAGCAAGATTTGGGTCAGACTACATATATTTCAAAATACAGGAAAGAGAACGGAGGGTAGGATTTTGTTGTTGCTGTTGTTATTATAGAAACAACATCCTAAAATGTCAGGCTTTCTCAAGATGCAATATAACCCACTGGTTAAGAGCAAGAACCTGGCTCTAACACATGTTAACTGTGTAAGGTTTCTTCACCTCTCTGAAACTATTTCATTATCCAGCAAAACAGGAGCAAGACAACCTATCTCAGAAGGCCATTGTGAAGGTTAAATAACACTCAACCCAATGCAGGTATTCAGTACAGTAGTGTCCCCTTATCCATGGTTTCGCTTTCTGCAGTTTCAGTTACCAGTGGTCAACCATGGTCTGAAACAATTAAACAAAAATTCCAGAAATAAACAACCTGTAAGTTTTAAATTATGCACTGTTCTGAGTAGCATATGATGAAATCACAGGCTCTGCTCTTTTGTCCAGTGCATCCATGCTGTTGATGATACCCACCTGTTAGTGAGTCACTACCCAATTCAATGATCAGATTGACTGTCACAGTATCACAGTGCCTGTATTAAGTAACACTCATTTTATATATTAAGGACCCCAAAGCACAAGAGTACTGATGCTGGCAATTCGGATATGCCAAATAGAAGCTATAAACTACCTCCTTTAAGTAAAAAGGTGAAACTCCTCAATTAAAAAAAAAATTGTATGCTGAGATTGCTAAGATCTATGGTAAAAGCAACCTTCTATCTGTGAAATTATGAAGAATGAAAAAGAAATTCATGCTAGTTTTGCTGTTGTACCTCAAACTGCAAAAATTATGGCCACAGTATTATGGCAAGTGCTTTAGCTAAGATAGAAAAGGCATTATATTTGCGGGTGAAAGACACAAACAGAAATGTATTCTGACTGATGGCAATCAGGTTTGGTACTATTTGAGATTTCAGGCATCCATTGTGGATCTTGGAACACGTCTGCCTCAGATAAGCGGAGATAACTGTAGATGTCACTGAGACCGACACATGCACACAAGTTAGAGAGCTGACTGAACTGGGGTGGCCTGACAGACTCCTCTGTCACACTTCTTTACCACAGTGGAAAGAACATGAACAAATTCCTTCAGGTAAAGCATCCCAAGAAAGGTTCCCAACAAGCTTCATAGGATTAATGAATTTATCAGGACCCCAAAAACCTAAGGTTTGAGAACTCACCTTGATGGCCTGGAGTAAGGCCTCATTCTGATTCCTCTCCTTCTTTTCTTTCAAGGTGGCTTTCCTCACATCCCTCTGTTCAATTCGCTAAAAGTGAAATTTAGATGCATCAGCTCTAGAGACCTGAGTTCCTCTTCTATTGCCCCCAGCCTTCTCCTAAATTATCATCTCTGATCTCTATCCAACCCAAGCTCCTGTGTTAAGGAATACCAGTGGCCAGATTCAGTTCAATAAACATTTACAAAGTACACACTGGCAGAAGTTTAAATCTACTTCTGGTACCCAAGGAACTTATAGTCTACTGAGAGGTTGAGGGGTACAGGCAGGTGAAGAGCCAAGTATAACGGGTAGATTATGTACTACTCTGGTGGTGTGAACAGAATGCTATGAAACACAGCCTGGGTGAGAGAGACCCTGTCTCTACAGGTTTTTTAAAACAAATTATAACCACCCTAGTGGGTATGAAGTGGTATCTTACTATGGTTTTGATTTGCATTTCCTAATTATTAATGATGTTGAACATCTTTTCATGTGCTTTTTGGCCATTTGTGTGTCTTTGGAGAAGAGTCTATTCACATTCTTTACCCATTCAAAACACTGAGTTACTTCTCTTATTACAAGTTGTTTATATATTGTAGATAAAAGTCCCTTATGACTTATGACTTACAAGTATTTTCTTCTATTCTGTGGGCTGTCTTTTCACCTCTCTCTCTTTTTTTTTTTTTTTTAAGTAGAGACAAGGTCTCATTTTGTTGCCCAGGCTGGTCTTGAATTCCTGGCCTCAAGTGATCCTCCTGCCTTGGCCTCCTAAAATGCTAGGATTACAGGTGCAAGCCACTACACCCAGCCCCTTTTCACTTTTTCCTTCACATTTATCTGAACTCAACCTTTTCACTTTTTTGATGGTATCCTTTGAAGCAAAAAGTTTTACTTCCGATGAAGTCCAATCGATCTACTTTTCCTTTCATTGCTTGTGCTTTGTTTCATATCCAAGTTCATGAAGCTTTATATCTATGTTTTAAGAGTTGTATAGTCTCAGCTCTTACATTTAGGTATTAGATCCTTTTTGGGTAACTTTTTATATAGTATGAGGTGAGTTTCTAGCTTCATTCTTCCACATGTGAATATCCAGTTGTGCCACCATCACTTGTTGGAAAGATTATCTCCCTATTGAATGGTCTTGGTACACTTGTTGAAAATAAATTCCCCTTAAATGAGGGTTTATTTCTGAGCTCTCAATTTTATTACATTGAGTTATATGTCTATTCTTATGCTAGTACCACAATGCCTTGATTACTGTAACTCTGTGGTATGTTTTGAAATTGTTAAGTGTGAGTTTTCCAATTCTGTTTCTTTTGTCTCTCATGACTGTTGGTTATTCAGAGTCCCTTGAATTTCTATATAAATATTATGGTCAGCCTGTCCATTTCTGCAGAGAAGTCAATTGGACTTTTGATAAGATTGCATTGAAATTAGCCAGATGTGGCACTACATGCCTATAGTCCCAGTTGCTTGAGAGACTGAGGCAGGAGGGCTGCTTGAGCCCAGGACTCTGAGGCTGCAGTGAGCCATGATGATGCCACTGCACTCCAGCCTGGATAACAGAGCAAGATCATGTCTCAAAAAAAAAAAATATATGCACTAAATTGATATACTAATTTTGGTAGTGTTGCCATCTGACAATATTAAGATCTAATCTATAAACATGGAATGTCTTCCTATTTACTTAGGTCTTTAATTTCTTTCAACAATGTTTTTTGTATTTTCAGAGTATAAGTTTTAGCTAATTTTGTTAAATGTATTCCTAAGTATTTTTTGTGTTATTAAAAATTGAATTTTTACTTAATTTCATTTTCAGTGTTCATTAAAAATCCATAGAATACAAATGATTTTTGTGTATTGATGTCGTTTCCAACATGCTTGCTAAACTTGTTTAGTAGTTCCAATAGTTTTTTAATGGATCCCTTAGGATTTTCTATACACACGGTCATGTTGCCTGCATATAGATGGTTTTACTACTACTACTTCTCTTCCACTCTTTCATTTTTGAAGAATAGGTTTGCTAGACATAGAATGCTTACAGTCTATTTCTTTTAACACTTTGAATATGTCATTTACCTGCCTTTTAGCCTTCATGGCTTCTGATGAAAAGCTGTTAATTTTCTTTAGGATTTTCTGTACATGAAGCATCATTTTTCTCTTGCTGCTTGTAAGGTTCTCTTCTTTGTTTTTCAACAGTTTCATTATAATGTGTTTAAGTGTAGATCACTTTAAGTTTATCCCACTTGTAGGTTGTTAAACTTTTGGATGTATCCATCACTGTTTTTCATCAAATTTGGGACGTTTTTGGCCAGTATTTCCCCAAGCATTCTTTTGCCCATTTCTTTCTCTCCTCTCCTTCCAGGACCCTCGTTATGCCTTTGTTGGTATGCTTGATGGCATCGTACAAGTCTCTCTTCATCCTTAGTCTTTTTTCTTTCTGTTCTTCAGACTGGATAATCTCAACCAATACATCTTAAGTGTAATGATTCTTATTACTGCCTGCTCAAATGTGCTGTTGAGCCCCTCTAGTGAATTTTTCATTTCAGTTATTGTACTTTTCAACTACAGAACATCTGTTAGGTTCTTTTTAATAATTTCTCTTTGTTGATATTCTTTATTTGGAAAGACATCATTCTCATTCTTCTTTTTAGTTCTTTAGACACTATTTCCTTTCATTTTGAGAAGATATTTAAATTAGCTGGTTTAAAGTCTTTGTCTAGTAAGTCCCATGTCTAGCCTTCCTCTACCTAATGACTAGACAGAGATTTCCCTAAACATCTAGATCAAATAAGTCTTTCAATCTTTGTCAAGAGCCTTTGTGTATATGTTGAAGCACACTTTTAGCATTCACCCAAGCAGTTTACAATTCTACCTTAGCCTTCGCTTCCTGCTTCCAGAGACTCTGAGAGCTTACGGTCTACTCAGGTCTTTCCTAAGCATGAGTATAGCCCTGGGCACTACTCTAGATCTCCCCAGAGCTTTTCAAAGCCCCCACAGAATTTCATTCCCTAGTTCTTCTTTTTAAGCTTTATGATGCGCCTATAGTTTGCTCCAAGTGCTATCCACTGCTTCATGTTCTGCAGTCTTTAACAATTGCCTCTAATTGTTTTTGACAAATTCTCTCCCACCTTTTCATTCCCCCTACTTTCTGGCCCTACGTAAAAAAGCTTTTCATACTGGGTAAGCTCCAAGTCAGGTCATATAAAAATAGCCCGGTGAGCAGGGTCTTCCAGGGATCTACCAGATGGTCAAATCATGACAGTTCTCTGGGGACAAGGCTTTGAAAGAGCTCTGACCCTGTTCTGCCTCCTCTGGTGGCTGCAGGCTGCTCATTTTCACCATGACTGTAGGCTGCTGGCTTTCAAGGCTACTGTGGAACTGGGAAGGAGGAGATAATAAAGAAAGTTAAAATGCCACAAAGGGCCAGACATGGTGGCTCATGCCTGTAATCCTGGCATTTTGGACACCAAGGCAGGAGGATGACTTGAGGTCAGGAGTTCAAGATCAGCCAGGCCAACATGGTGAAATACCAACTCTACTAAAAATATAAAAATTAGCTAAGTGTGATGGCACATGCTTGTAATCCCAGCTACTCAGGAGGCTGAGGCAGGAGAATCACTTGAACCCAGGAGGCAGAGGTTGCAGTGAGCCGAGATCGTGCCACTGCACTCCAGCTTGGGCAACAGAGCGAGACTCTGTCTCAAAAAAAATAAAAATAAAATAAAATAAATAAATAAAATGCCACAAAGCTTACTGTTCTTACTGAGGTTCCATCATTTTTCTTGAATAAATATGCCCCAGATTGCTGCAAACCTCTGGTTCATTTCCAGTCCTAGGAAAGTTGATTCTGAACATTTTTGCCAGTTTCCTCATTGATTTTATGGAAGAGAAAATTTTTGAAGGTCTTTAGTCCACCACTGTGACTGACATTACCCATCTCTATTTTTTAAATACTGGTTTTATTCATTACGGAGAGAGTTGATATTTCCACCTATTTGTGGATTTATTTCTTCCTTCTTCGGTTGTCAAGTTTTGTGTCATGCATTTTGAAGCTGTTACTAGGTGCTACACATTTAGAATTGTTAAATATTCTAATAAGCTGGTCCTTTTATCATTAAAAAAATGCTTCAATGGCTGGGCACAGCAGCTCATGCCTGTAATCCCAGCACTTGGAAGACTAAGGCAGGAGGACTGTTGAGCCTGAGAGTTTGAGACCAATCTGGGCAACATAGTGAAACCCCATCTCTACAAATTTACAAATTGAAAAAATAAAAAATTAGCCTGGCATGGTGGTGCACAACTATAGGTCAAGCTACTCAGGAGGATCAGCTGAGCCCAGGAGGTCAAGGCTGCAGTAAGCCATGATCATGCCACTGCACTCCAGCCTGGGCAATAGAGCAAGACTCTATCTCAAGGAAAAAAAGAAAAAAAGCTTCACTTCATCTCTGGTAATACTTGCTACCTTGAAGTCTATTCTGTCTGATATTAATATAGACATAAGTCTGTTGGCTACATATGCCAAGCACATAGGAATCCAGAATCAATCTGTACTCAGACATAGGGGAATAATTCAGCTATTCAGCAAGCAGTGTCACCTAGACTTAATATCAGGCTTCTGGCCCTTGAAATCTCCCTTTAATTGTGACTGTCCTCAGTAATCCTCCAATCATTCAATCCTGTATGTGCCACTTTCAGAAATTCTGGCCACACCCAATTACCTGGGCTCAGAATTCTGTTATTGAGCCATCTGGGTCCATAGAGAACTACCTTTTCTACCATTTCATATGACCAGAATGACCTCTCGTCATTGCTAATATGTGACATTTCTGGCATATAATAGCTAAAATGATTATAAAAACAGTAATAATAGCAGAATATCATCATTACCCAAAATAATATCCAACATTTAAATAGTACTTACTCTGTATATGTTCCAGGTGCTATTTAAAAAACATTACTTACATTAAACCATCTAAACTATAAAATAGCCCTATAAGGTAGTAAGTATTTTAATTCTCCTTTTACTAGTGAGGTAGCTAAAGTACAAGGAGATCAGGAAGTTGTCCAAGTCACACAACTGTCATGAAGGGAGTCTTCAAATTCAGGCAGTGGCTCCAGAGTCTAAGCTCTTAGCCACTGTGCAATACTTACATGCCTGTTAATAGAAATCCAGAACTAGTCTTAAGGTCTCTTAATTCCTAGTTTAGATCTGTCTTCACTGAGTCTTTAGCTGGCCCCAAACATGTGACATTGTTATGTGACTATATACCGTAATGGTATCTAATTTTGCCCTGGATAAGACATATCCCCATGCAGATTGATGGGAATACATTCTGAAAAATGTACAATCATTGTTGTACAAGCATCACAGAATGTACTTTTACAAACTGAGATGGTATAGCCTGCTACATACCTAGATTATATGGTACAGCCTATTGCACCCAGGCTACAAACCTATACAGCACATAACTACTCTGAATACTGTAGGCAACTATAACACAATGGTAAGTATCTGTGTAGCTAAACATATCTAAACACAGAAAAAGTACAGTTAAAATAGGACATTATAATCTTATGGGACCACAGTAATACATGCAGTGTTCCATCACTGAATGAAACACTGTTATGTGGCACGTGACTGTGCTAAGCTACGGACACCATCTATCCTTGCTTACTTCTGTATCACACTACAACTGTTTGTTCGTTTACTTGTTTGTATCCTCCACAGAATTCCAAGAGTAGGGACTAGTGTTGGGTTTTGATTTTAAAAAGTTTACAATGACTTGAAAGGCACGATCTTGGGAATGCTAATTAATGCTAATTAGCAAATACTAATCTAGCTGCTGACAGTCACCAACCTTCAGCTTGTCTGCTTTAGCCCTCATTTCCAGAAGCTTCTTCTCTGTGGCATCTATCTGCAGTCCCTCATCACACCAGTTCACAGCCTCAGCAAAGTGTTTCAGTTCCAGATGGCATAAGGCACCTGCAGAACCCAGAACCCTTAGCATCCAAGAACAATATGCACAGAAAGAGCCTGCTTTGAGCAAGATCTCCCACCCCCACCAACTATCAGCCAGCCCCCTGGAGGCAAAATGGAGGCTAATGCCCTTATACTGCAGTCCCCAGACAAAGAAGAATATTTTTTTGTATCCTAGATCAGAAAAATCCCTAAGGTCCATTTAGTTCAAAACTGCTGTACGTCTCCCTGGTATTAAGGGCTCTTAAAATAGGAAAAGCTGTAACTTAGGGGCAAAGAGAACAGACTTAGAAACCAGATAGATCAAGGCTAGAAATCTGGCTGTGTCATTTACCAGCTAGACCTTAGACAAAGGACCAAGCATATCCAAGCTTTAGGTTCATCTGCAAACAAGAAGATTATAGTCCATCCCAGATGATTTTTTAAATGGAGAGAGACAGCAGAATTTGCTTCAGCTACTCATCAAGGCAGTGGCAAGGCCAAAGACAATAGGTCTCTGCTAATTTTGTTCTTTATGGCTACCAGTTTAAGCTGTGTTTCCCCCATCACAAAAAAACTTTAAATGTTATCATGTACATCTTTCTCTAGTTAGCCTCTTTAGGTTTTCCACAGAATTTCAAAATATAAGAATTGTAAAGGCTTAGATGTCAACAGAATCTAACCTCATCTTCCAGAGATGAGCAAATTGATATTCAAAGTGGTGTCTTACTAAGGTCACATTGTAAGTTAAACCAACAACTGAATCAAGGATTACCAACTTCCAGCCTGAGGCAAATTCCACAGAACTACCTAGATTCAATTTATCAGCCAATCTTTGTTCAGTACCTTCTTTTCCTACAGCTGAGGGACATGGATCTACCTACTGCCCTTAACCATGAACATTTAAAAAGGCATAATTTTGCTAAAGCATTTTAAGCTGGTCCATGGGGATGCAGGGAAAATTAAAATGTGATGAATAAATTAAAGTTTGCAAAGTACATATGAGCTTCTCAAAGAAAAGGTGAAGTATAAAAGTAATAAAAACACTATTATTACATAGAAAGGTCAGACTACAAGAGAAAACATTATCTGGGAACATCTCAGCACCAGAGTGATCAGCGAAGGTCCCATAACTTACCTTTTAATTAACAATTAACATGGCATTTAAGACCTTGTCTTTCAATAAGCTAATTTGAAAAAAAAAAATCAGAATGTGGCTTTTGCAACTACTTTGTTTTAATTAAGTTTATTATGTATTAATTTAAAATGAGAGGTTTCTATTTCTCTACAAATTCTTAAAACATAAAGGGTTAAGTCATTCTCTGAGGAATTCTCTTAAAAGTGGCATGTTGCTGTTGATAAAGAACAGGACTTAATACCCAGACTCCAGAAATAAGATGACTTTATTGGTATCCTGGCGTCTTCACATCAAAGCTTTAAATGTCAACTTTTGGTGCAGTGAGTGCTAGCTTTTCCACAACGACAATCAGACTGCAGCTCTACAAGACTTACCTCTTATTATTGCTTTGAGGTGGCAGGGTTTTAGCTTTCTGGCAGCTGTCACATCATTGAGAGCAGAACGAAAATTGCCTAACAAAACACCGTTTAGTAAGAGAAGTTTTGAGATCAAAATTTTATATGTAGTGACAAAGGCACTCTTGTACAAACTTGGAGAAATACAAATGACAGCAACTGTTTTTAGAAAAAACATAGTTGTACTCATCAAGAACCTCAGAAATATCTATAGCATCAGGCAATCTATAGAATTGTAAATGGCTAGTAAGCACATGAAAAGATGTTCAACATCACTAATGATTAGGCAATTAAAATTAGAAATTGGCAAAAGTTGGACAAATAGTATCTAGTATTAGAGAAGATGTGGAAAGCGGCACTCTTAGGGTAAATTAGAAGCAAACTAGCATGTACTTTGTACATACACTTTGACCCAACAATTTTCTTCTGGAAAATTATCAAAAATACTTGAACAAATATGCAAGAATAAATGTAAAAGCACGCTAACTACAGCATTATTTTAATTGTGAAAAGCTGGGAGATAACTCAAATATCCCCAATTTGGTAATGATTACATATATTATGGTTTATGCAGCCATTAAAAAGAATGAGATAGATCATGTAACAGACATGGTAGGATGTCTGTTGTATACTGTTTTAACTGGTGGTTCTTTGAGTCTATTTTTTTAAAAAACAAACCCAACTAGATATATAGACACATACACATATATTTATAAGTGCATAAAAAAAAGATATGCAATCATATACATATAAGTTGTCCAAACTAGGAAGCCATGAGGTATACTTTAACATTCTGGAGTATACTGTAATTATTACTTAATGGTTTAAGTATGTACCTAAATCTCTAGTCCAGGGGTCAGCAAAATATTTTGTAAAGGGCCAGATAAATATTTTAGGTTTTGCAGGCCACATGTGGTCTATTGCATGTTCTTCTTTGTTTTATTACAATTATTGAAAAATGTAAGAAACATCTGGGGAAGTGGCTCACTCCTGAAATCCCAGCACTATGGGAGACTGAGGTGAGAGGATTGCTTAAGACCAGGAGTTCAAGACCAGCCTGAGCAACACAGCAAGACTCTCTTTCTACAAAAAAAAAAAAAATTTAAAAATTAGCTGGGCATGGTGGTACATGCCTATAGTCCCAGCTACTCAGGAGGCAGAAGTGGGAGAAATGCTTGAGCCCAGGAGTTTAAGACCGCATTGAGCTATGATCACGCCACTGCACTCCAGACTGAACAGAGTAAGACCCTGTCTCTTAAAAAAAAAAAGTATATATATATATATATATATATGGAACATTTTTAGTTCATGGCAAGCCAAGAGGCCAGAGGTAGACTCTGAGTCATAGTTTGCCAAATCCTGCTTTAGCCTAATGAATAATCAAAATTGTTTTGTTTTGTTTTGTTTTCTGAAATGGAGTTTCACTCGTTACCCAGGCTGGAGTGCAATGGTGCGATTTCGGCTTACCGCAACCTCCGCCTCCTGGGTTCAGGCAATTCTCCTGCCTCAGCTAATTTTTGTAATTTTAGTAGAGACAGGGTTTCACCATGTTGACCAGGATGATCTCGATCTCTTGACCTCGTGATCCACCCACCTCGGCCTCCCAAAGTGCTGGGATTATAGGCGTGAGCGACTGCGCCCGGCCAATAATCAAAATTATTAGAAAAATATTATGACTTTATTTGTTTTTACATTATTTATAAAAACCAAAAAGCAGCCTATATACTCAACAATAGTAGTCTAATAAAGCAAAGAGTATAAATATTGGCATGTCCATATGATGCAACTTTTAGCTATTAAAATAGCATTCATGGCCGGGCGCGGTGGCTCAAGCCTGTAATCCCAGCACTTTGGGAGGCCGAGGCAGGTGGATCATGAGGTCAAGAGATCAAGACCATCCTGGTCAACATAGTGAAACCCCATCTCTACTAAAAAAATACAAAAAATAGCTGGGCATGGTGGTGCGTGCCTGTAATCCCAGCTACTCAGGAGGCTGAGGCAGGAGAATTGGCTGACCCAGGAGGCGGAGGTTGTGGTAAACCGAGATTGCACCATTGCACTCCAGTCTGGGTAACAAGAGCAAAACTCCATCTCAAAAACAAATAATAATAAAATAAAATAAAATAACATTCATAAATGACTTTTAATGACAGGTAAAATTGCTTGTTATAAAATTAAGTGAAAAAACTGAATATGAAACTGGAAGAACAGGAGGATCTCAACCATGGAAAAATGCACATGAAAGTGAGCCAAGGACTTTGAGTTAAAGGAGGCAGATTGAACACACACATTTAACTCAATCCCCACTCTCCCACCCATAAAGACAAAGAAAATGAGAAGAACACAGAACACACTCTGAAAGCTGGAAAACGAAGGGACAAGTAACAGATGTATCCAGCTTAAGAAAACTAAATTCTAAACCAGCAGAGGGAAATCCCAAAAGCTACCAAGCTGTACTGCAGAAACTACCAAGTACTCAGGACTCCGGAACTGACAGCACCAGGTACCTCTGGAGGCAGGGGCGAAGGTGGGTTGAAAATCTACTCAAGAAGCAGTCAGATTCCCAAGCTCCTTATCCCTCTGCTGCACCTCACTCCTCCCCTATTCCTCCAGGTGGAATAGGGGTTTGCCCTAGTAGACATTAAAACAGTGGCTGTCTGGTGATTCAGTAAAAGAAATACCAAATATTGAGCCCTTAGTCCTCTTCTCCTACTTGGTTCCCAAAGTACCAGCAGCCAGGATTTCCAAACAGAGAAAAAAGAGTAAAAAAGAAAAGAAACAGATCAAAGAATTCAAGACAATTTCCTAGAAACATGAGTTTCCAGACTGAAAAGGTCCACTGAGTACCCAACACAAGGCACAATATTATGAAATTTCAGCACACCAGCCCTGCAGTCCTAGGTCCTTTCTAAACTCTGTGATAACAAACAGGGGTCTAGGCTGGATGCAGTGGCTCATGCCTGTAATACCAGCACTTTGGAAGACCGAGGTGGGTGGATTGCTTGAGCTCAGGAGTTCGAGGCCAGCCTGGGCAACGCAGCGAGACCTCTGTCTCAATTTAAAAAATAAATAACTAAAAAAACAAAAAACACAGGTCTAACATAACCAAGACTACTTACTAGCAATACTACTTAAATAATAATCATTTTTCAAATTTACAACTACAGAACCCTGTATCACGTTAGTATCACCTGAAAAGGAGATTTAAAATTTGAGAAACCCAGGGTGAATTTCTTTCTTTGCAGGTTATCATAGTGTCTTTAACATGTTAATGTATACTGCAAATCTCTAAGAAGGAGCATTTTCCAAACCTCCTCATCCTCCTGGATGGAGTGCCTCACGCCTGTAATCCCAATACTTGGGGAGGCTGAGGCAGATGGATCACTTGAGCCTGCGTTCTAGACCAGCCCAGGCAACATGGCAAAACCCTGTCTCTACAAAAAAAAGTAATAAAGTAAAAAATATGAATAATAAATACAAGAGTTAAAATTCCTCATCCAAGCAACTTTTTAGAAACAGGGTCTCACTGTCCGGTGGCGTGATTATGGCTCCCTGCAGCCTTAAGCGATTCTCCTGCCTCAGACTCCTGAGTTAGCTAGGCACTACCATGCCTAGCTAACTTTTTTGTAGAGACAGGGTCTCACTACGTTGCCCAGGTTGGTCTTGAACTCCTGGCCTCAGCCTCCCAAAGTGCTGGGATTACAGGTATCAGCCACTGCACTCAACCAAAAAATATTTTTACCTCAAAGGTCCCATAGAACGCTCTGAGATATTCTCCCTTAGATTAAAACAGCTTCTCTCACCTAAAGATCTCTACTGCCTTAATCCTGCTAGCATCCTTGAGAAGAAGATAAAAGGCCAGAAAAACACATTTTTTGAGAGAGAAGTCCTTGGGCTCAAAAATCTCAGAACATACTGATTCATACTTCAAAACACCTTACTAGAGTCCAAGTCACTTTTTGGATTCAGACAGTAAGAATTATGTAATCCATCCTGTTTCTCTTTTCATGACAACTTGGAAGAACAGAGTTCAATCAGAGTAAATTATCCTCAGTCTAGGTTTCTGTGATAAACAGCCCCTCATCCTCTGATGCTCTCAAACCTCTACTAACCATCATAATGGCTTTTATCATAAGTTTATTCTTCAGAAAGCACTTAATAATGAAATAAATTACCCAGATAGTACTGTGCTGCTGCCCGGTTGGTATAAAGAACAGCATTCAAATCAGGATCTGCACATTTCTTCTTTAATCCTTCAGTGTAGGAAATCACAGCTTTCTTGTAGTCTTTTTCTTTAAAGTAATCATTGCCCTCATCTTTATAGGTCTTGGCCTGTTCTGCAAACAAGAGAAAAAATAATCACTATTCCACACTTTTTAAAATGCTTCTTTTCCATGCTTTTTAAAAGGCTCATTAAAAATAGATTCTAAATCATGCAATAATGTACCATATGATACACCAAAGTGAAGAAACCAATAGGGAAAGGAAATTCAATGTTATGATAAAAATGGGTATCAACATGGACAAAGTCACACGAATTAAATGCTAATTCCAAATATCTTACAAGGTAGATTACTAAGTGCTTTCCCAAAAAAAGAAGCATAAAGGAAAAATGTATACTCATCCTAGCTATTGAAAAAAAGAATTTCAATCACTGAAGAAATCAGTGAGGGGCAGGGGGATTGATTATACTTCTGCTTTTGCTCATGCTGTTTATTCTGTGGAGTGCAAATTCCCCTCCTCACCCTAGTAAAAGCCTACAAAATTAGAAAGGGTCAGCTCAAATTTCCTATCTACTGTGAATCCACTCCTGCCCCTTAAAGTCTTCCAACAGGACCCATTACAGCTGTAGTATAACACTTACATGTTGACATTTATAGCACAAGTTTGTCTTGATTCTTTAAAACAATGGGCTTCTCACTGATCCTGACCTTGAAGGGTGGAACTGTGTCTTATTGATCCCTGTATCCCCAATCCCTACCACTTAGTAGGTATCAAAGAAGTCTGCTGGAATGAATAGTGACAAGTTAGCTCAGGCTAACTACTTCTTCTAATCAGTCAGAACCCTTCTAACCCACACTTTATTTCAATTCAATGTAAACACAAAACAAATATTAGTCATGTTAAGATACCTTCTAGAGAACGATCTTCATCAAAAATAATTGACTGGAGACAAGCCAAGTCAGGATTCTCCCTGGGGTCAATTTCTGATGGTGCTTTCTTCATAAATAGGGGGACCTTTTCAAATTCCTGGACATGATTAAGAATGAACTACATGAAAAAGCTTTTCTACTGAACAGATCCAATTCCATGACTCAAAGTTTTTTCACTCATCATGATTTTCAAATCATCACAGTTAGCTGTATCCATTCAGGCCTCCGCTTCCCTTCTGTAAAATGGGAGTGGGGTGTAATGATCTCCAATGATTGTTTTAGTTCTCACATTCTACAAGAGCGGCAGGAATTACCATTAATTAAGCGCCCTTATGTTCTTGGCACTTTACCAACTGTGTCTCATTTCATCTTTGCTATTGGTGCTACAGTTCGGGCAATTTTACGGATGAGGAAACAGGCTCAGAGAAGTAAAGTAACTGATCCATATCAGAGCCAGTAAGTGTGGTTCTTAAACGTACTGACAGCTTAAGAAGCAACTCAAAACCTCGAGGCCAATTTTCAATACTCAACTAGAAACCAGCCATCCGCTGGCAGCGCGAGGGATCTGGGATTGAGAGAGGCGCCCCCAAGCCCGGGTGCCCCACGAGTCCTGACGACGCCCCTACACACGTGCGGAGACCCCAGGACCGCCCACCTCCTCCCACTGGTCCTCATGAAAGCCGCCACGGTAAGGCTGGCTCTGGAACTTGTCCAGGAACGAGTCCATGACGTCGTCTGAGGTGGGGTCCTGCTCACGTTGCTCCATCGCTGATGCCCTGTCCTCTAGCCGGGGTCCCTGAGCCGTGAAGCAAGGAGCTCCTTCCGGCGGCGCAGGTCCCCTTCCCTCAATCCTCCCGGCTGCGCAGGCCAGCGCGCCTTGGGTTCCGCCGGCCTGGGGGCGTGGCAGGGCGTGGCCGAGGCCGATACGCTCCTCCCCCGGCCCGCCTCCTCAGCGGTGCCTGGCCTAGCCCGACCCGAATGCTTTTGGGGTAAGCCCCAATGACTGCGTAAGCTCGAATCACCGTAGCTCCCGTCTCACTTCATTCATTTGTTCGTCCGTCAGTCAACACATACTTAACTTAGCTCTTTCTGCGCTTCCGGCCTTTTCTAGAGGCTGGCTATACAGTGGTGGGTAGAGCAGATGAAATCCCTGCCCTCTAGGAATTGCTAAGGCAGCGAGAAGGAAAGGACAATAAATAGATGAGATGTAAGAGTTTGTCAGGGGTAGCAAGAGCTATTGGGGAAAAATTTTAAACAGGGCAGGCAGACATTCTGCCAGAGGCCTGGGAATGACCCATGGAAGGAACAGAGAATAGGCCAGAATTCAGGAGGGTCTTCTGTGCTTAAGGAACAGCAAGGAGGCCAGTGGGGCCGACGCAGAGTGAGGAAGGGGATGAGGAGATGATGAAGTGGGAGGATAAAAGGGCTGTGCTATGAGGATTTGGCTATTTCCTAAGAGTGGGATGGGACCTTTTGGAGAGTTTTGAGGAAAGGAGAGACTGATCAGACTTCTGTCTCTGAACTTAGCCACACCTAACCCCCCACAGCTTAGATGGAAACAGGGTCTCCAGTCCAGGTGCTGCAGGCCTGGTGAGGGAGCCGCTGTGGCTTCCCGCAGCCCCTACTGGCCAGCAAATGGCTGCAGATCCCTGCACCACGCCTACAGCCTTGGGGAGCTCCTAGCTTGGTCTGGAACGAAAAGCAGACAGGAAGCACACCAATCTAACTGGCATTGGGTCACAGGTCTGCTCAGTGAAGGCACAGAGGGGTGGGATTCAAGGTGATGCAGAGCTCAGATCAGAGCTGAGGAAGATCTCTGCAGATGGATAGAGGACTGGGCATTTTAGGCAGTGGGAGCTCATATGTGGAGAGAGGCATGGAGATGTGCACCTGCCTGCCATGCTGTGTATTACAGCAAGTGTTCCAGAGGTGTGGCCAGTAGGTGGGTAGGGGCCAGAAGGCCTGCCTGCCTTACTAGCCTTGGTCCTACAAGATAGTGAGCCACTGAAACGACCTAAGAGGAGCGAGGGCTGTGAGCACATTTGTCTTAGGAAGGCCTGGGCTGCCAGGTGAGGCATTGATGGGGGGAGGTTGGTTAAGAGATTGACAAGGAGGATGCTGGTAAGAGATCAAGGGAAAGGAGAAATCTGAAGCCCAGCAGTGAAGCTGGCAGAGTGGTCATTCTTTGATACAGGCATAGAGACAGCAGGGCTAAGGAAGATGCCTGGGGACCATGAGCCTTCCAGAGCTGGGACTTTATATTTTCCCTTCTGAGTTTCCCACACCCAGCAGAATACTTGGACCTAGCACTCTTTTCTCCAAATTCAAACCTCCTTTTCCACACTTCCTCCTCCAGCCCTGCTCCCTAACCCTGGTTCCCTCCCTTATTCTCCTCTTCATCATCTTTTCCTTTACTGAGTGCAGAGCCTACAGAGTCTTTTTGCTTTCTTTGTTTTTTCCCATTTGATTTCTGTAAGAACATGATGAGGTACGAACCCATTTTATAGGTAACAATAGGGAAAGCTAACAAAAAGGAAGTGACTTGCCCAGCACTCTCTGAACCTTCCTACTCAAAACTACTTAGGGGCCTTGGCCAAAAACTGAGCTGATCAGCCTCTGCTAATCGTAAGCAGCAAACATTTATTTCGCACAGTTGTGGATGCTGGGAAGTCCAGGATCAAGACCTGGCAGATTCAGTGTCTGGTGAGGGCCTGTTTTCTGGTTCACAGACACCATCTTTTCACAGTGTCTTCCCATGGTGCAAGCGCTCTGAAGGCTCTTTTATAAGGGCACTAATCCCATTCACTAATCCCTAATCCCCTCTCAAAGGCCCCCCACCTCCTAATTTCACCACTTTGGGAGTTCGGATTTCATATCAATTCAAGAGGACACAGTATTCAGACCACAGCAGCAGCTACCTGCCCTGTGGATATCTCCACTAGCTTCCTGCACAGTCCCTCAAACTTACTATGCCCAGCTTGAACTCATCCCCTTCCCCCACAGCCTGCTCCTGGTGCTGGATTCACCACTCAGTGTGGGCTCCATTGGCTCAGTCATCCACCCAGAAACCCTTGTGTCAAACTCAGTGCCTCCCTCTCCCTCCTCCATTCTGTCAGCCACTAGGTTCTGCAGTCCCCTTCTTCAGTCTCCTGCAGGGCTGGCTGCCCTCTCCATTTTGTCCTGCAGGGTCAGGCCACTGTTGTCCCAGCAGTTTCTGCTGACGGTACTCTTGTCCACCCTGCCATCCAGCCCTCTCACTCCACGACATAGTGAGCTTCTTCTGCCTCCTTTTTAATTTATTCCCTTTTATCCCCCAAAGCCCTCCTCCTTACCCTAATCAATCATTCTAGCATCTTTTGTTAGCATTTTTGGTTTTTTTTGTTTTATAGAGATGGGGTCTCACTATGTTACCCAGGCTGGTCTCAAACTCCTGGCCTCAAGTGATCCTCCCACCTCAGCCTCCCAAAGTGTTGAGATTACAGGTGTGAGTCACCATACCTGGCCTCTAGTGTGTTCACTGTGTCTTCTCAGTTTCTAAGTATTCTTGCAAAATGTAAATGCTTTTGTATTACACTCTTTTTTTCTTCCTTTTTTTTTTTTTTGAGATAGAGTTTCATTCTTGATGCCCAGGCAGGAGTGCAATGGCATGATCTTGGCTCACTGCCACCTCTGCCTCCTGGGTTCAAGTGATTCTCCTTCCCCAGCCTCCCAAGTAGCTGGGATTATAGGCATGCGCCACCACACCCAGCTCATTTTATATTTTTAGTAGAGACAGGGTTTCACCATGTTGGTCAGGCTGGTCTTGAACTCCTGACACAGATGATCCACCTACAGCAGCCTTCCAAAATGCTGGAGTTACAGGAGTGAGCCACTGCACCATGAGTGGAAATATGTACCCATGAATGGAACTGCTTAGTCATGGGTATGCATGAACTTAAGACTGAAGTGACTGAATAATGACAGATCCCTACAGAGTCCAGAAGAGCTGCACCAATCTACCATCCCATCAGCAGTGTCCGAGGGTTCCTGCATCCCCAGGAGAAGGCGCCTTCTAAAACATGCATCTGCCTACATCTGTCCCCTGCTTAGCATCCCACAGTGCCTTCCCACTCCTCTCTGGATGATGTCTCCCTCCTTAACACAGCCTCTAAGGCTTCTGTGGCTCCAGCCTGAACTCCTCGCCCCTCTGTCTCTAGGCTCCGTGCACTACAGGTCTGTAGTTGTTCCTTGGTCTGGTGTGTCCTGCTCCCTTCCAGACATGCTCTTTCCAAACCCCCTACAGGGGAGTTTCTTCCCTGGGAAGCCTTATCTGACACCTTAACTAACCCCCTGCTCATCTATGTACCTCCTCTGGACACGCCATGCTGACCTGCTGTGCTGTTGGTGTCTTTATATGTTTCTGATACTTCCATTAGACCAAGTTTCTCAACTGTGGCACTTTCGACAATTGGGATGGGGAACTCCTTGTTGAAGGACTGTCCTGAGCATAGGAGGATGTTTAGCAGCATCCCTGGCCACTACCCATCAGATGATAATAGCACACCCCCAGCCCCCACAAGTTGTAACAGCCAGAAACGTCTCCAGACACTGTTAAATATTACCTGGGGATCAAAATCACCCCTGGCTGACAACCACGGCATCAGCCTATGAACTGCTAGGGCCTGGCCTGGCGCTGGGTCTTGTTCATGTGTGTATCATGGCACCCAGAGCGGGGCTGGCCCAGGTTAGGTACTCAGTAAATGCTGCGAGAATCTGTGGTGGCCCCTTACTGGGCAAAGACCCAAGGGCAGGACTCAGAATTCAGGGTTTGGGGATATGCATGATGTCGTGGGGCTGTGGCTGTCTCTTCTTTCTCTTTTTTTCCTTTCCCCGAAGGCCACCCAAAACATCATCTCCTTTTGTTCTTATAATGTGGGCCAGGAGAAACTGAGACATCCAGCAGACTTACTGTATAGCCTTGGGGAAGCCACTTCACCCCTCTGGGCCTCTGCTTCCTCACCTAGAAAATGTGGGCAGAACAGCCTACATGGGTCAATAGGTATTGACTGAGCTGACAAACGCCTCTCAAAGACTGTCACACCAAGTGATGGCTGCTCCAGAGCCTGGGGATGTCCCAAGAGGAAACCATCAGGACAGAGAGTAAACCACATAACATTTATAGGGAGCACGGCTGGGGCTCAACCGCCCTGAGGAGGGCTGGGGGCTTAGGGACGTCACTGCTTCAAGGACATCTTCCAGGAGCCCAGTGCCTGCATGATCCAGGAGCGCCGCTGGTGGGAAGTGGGCAGGTTCTCACAGCTGGGGCTCCAACGGTGTGTGGTGGTTGGGTCACACACCCCCAAGTCCCCGTGCGGCAGCCAGGAGTTCCGCCAGGAGGCCAGGAGGTGGTCCTGAGCCTGGGCTGCATAGATGCACACTGATGCTTCTGGGTCATGTCTCAAGTTTTCCAGAGCTGCGTCATGGGGAAGGGAGACACCTCCTGTTAAGACCTACGTGGGTCTCATACCTAATCCTTCTCATCTCCATGCCTTGGTTTAGACACCCTCTGCTCGGCATCCCCTCATCTCGCTTTCCTCCCAGCCCCTCAAATTATTCACATTTTTCAGAGCTCGAATCAAAACCTGCCTCCTCCAGGAAGTCTTTCTGGCTTTCATCAGATTCCGTAGTTACAAAATGAATCAGTTCCCACTTAAGAGTCTGAACTATTCACCCTGCACTAAATGGCTTTCAGTCTAGCTTTTGAGCCTCATTTCCTTAATGAGATTGTGAGCTTCCCTAGGGTGGGGCTGTTGTTCTGCCTCTTGGTAACCTGGTGGTACTTAATGCTATACTCAC